ATTGAAAGCGGTCACTTTGGCTCTCAGAGCCCTGCTCCCGTACCTGAAGGACGAGCAGGTCCTAGTCCGAATGGACAACATGACGGTAGTCTCGCATATAAATCGTCAGGGTGGACTCAGATCGAGCTCCCTGCACTCGATGGCCAGGGAGCTCCTCCTATGGTCCCAGCGCAACCTGCGCTCGCTGAGAGCAGCGCATGTGCCAGGTGTTCTGAACCAGGGAGCGGACATGCTGTCCAGAGACAAAGTTCTCCCAGGAGAATGGTCTCTCCACCCCCTGACGATTCAGTGGTTATGGCAAACCTTTGGCAGAGCAGAGGTCGACCTCTTTGCCTCCAAGGAAAATGCGCACTGCCCTCTCTTCTTTTCAAAGAGCACAGACGCGCTCGCCTAAGTCTGGCCGAGCCACCCGCTGTATGCCTTCCCTCCGGTCGCGATGCTACCTCAGGTCATCAGTCGGATCAGGGAGGAGAAATGTGCAGTGCTCCTGGTAGCCCCACTCTGGAAGAACCAGACGTGGTTTCCAGAACTGATGCAGATGATGCAATCTGCCCCATGGCCGATTCCACTGAGGCTAGACCTCCTCAGGCAGGCCAACGGGATGATCCTCCATCCCCGCCCCGATCTGTGGGCCCTCCATGCGTGGCCCCTCAACGGGTTCCCGGGAACCTCCCCAGTGGAGTGTTGAGAACCATCACTGAGGCGCGAGCGCCCTCTACGAGGCGCTTATGTGCCCAGAAATGGAAGGTGTTCAGTGACTGGTGTAAATCCAGGAACCTGAACCCCGAGACATGCGAAGTACCGAGTGTGCTCGTTTTCTTACAAGAGCTGTTGGAGGCAGGCCGCACCCCCTCCACGCTCAAAGTATATGTGGCTGCCATAGCGGCATCACACGACCCTGTAGAAGGACGCACGCTAGGGAAAAACTACCTAGTTGTTCGTTTCCTGAGGGGCGCCAGGAGGATAAATCCCCCACGCCCCCCCTCGGTGCCGATCTGGGACCTGGCCACGGTCCTGGACGCACTCAAGCGTGCCCCGTTCGAACCCCTCCGAACTGTGCACCTTAAACAGCTCTCGCTCAAAACTGCTCTCTTGCTGGCTCTCGCCTCGGTCAAGAGAGTGGGCGACCTGCACGCGCTGTCATCAAGCGCTGCCTGCCTGGAGTTTGGACCTAACGACAGCAGGGTTGTCCTCAGGCCAAAACACGGGTATATTCCTAAGGTGCTCGCTACACCTTTCAGAGCACAGGTGATAATTTTGGCCGCGCTATCGTCTCCAGCAGACGAAAGCGACGCTAATTTACTCTGCCCGGTCAGGGCGCTCAGAGTATATTTGGAACGTTCTGCCCTGTTCAGACAGACAGAGCAATTGTTCGTGTGCTTTGGCGGCCGCACCAAGGTCTCGCTGTTTCAAAGCAAAGAATATCGCGCTGGATAGTTGATGCTATAGCGCTGGCTTATGAAGCCAAGGGCCTTCAGTGCCCCTTGGGCATCAGAGCTCACTCTACGAGAGGCATGGCCTCCTCGTGGGCGTGGTCGAGTGGGATACCCATTCAAGATATTTGTGCGGCAGCAGGCTGGGGCTCACCGTCAACATTTATCAGGTTTTATAACCTACAGGTCCCCTCATTGCACTCTAACATACTGTCGGTCTAACTATGCATAGGCTGGGGTGTGTACATGCTGAGCATTGTCTCCTCCCTCATAGAATCCGTCTCTGACTGATGTAGAGGATTTTTCATGCATGACAGTACATAAAAATGTGCTTGTGTGTTTCTCTGGACGCCCATTGGGCCGTTCCACGTTGTCCTTTATAAAGCCCGCCTTCGGCTGGCTCGTTGGATAATTACTTTGCTTAAAGGCTCAGTGCCCGGTTGCATAAACCACCTTAAGTTTTTCCCTTAAGTATGATACTTAAGGGGCGATTTACCCTTACCTAAGAGAACAACTTAAGGGTGTTGCATATAATCTCTTAAACGGTTCTCTTAGGTAAGGGAAACATTTAAGTGTTTCACGACAGCGATCCTGGATTCACGTTATAATAGTCTGTTGTTGCCATAGATACGCAAAACACTAAAATGTCGGAATATCACGTGTCAGTCCAGTGACGCTATCACGCAACACCGCGTTAGCTCCGAACGTGGCGGCAGTTTGTGTTGTTCACCGTCTCATGCTTTGCCATTTGTTTAGGTTTTGTGAATGCACTTCTGGCTCTGTGTCTCGAAATACAGCTGAGTATATTTCCATAGCATACCTGTTTTCTTCTGTCATGATTCCTTTTAAAACACAGAATCAGCTCGTTCTCCTGTGAATTTTTTGTCGGCCACACACTCTCCGTGCGCGCACTGACTTAACGTTGTGATAGTTTACATGCGAGTCGCGTGTAATGACAGACAGCCGTCTAGTTTGATAGCGATGTCAAATATTGCTCGTCGATCAAATCGGTATTCTTGCAACAATTTTTCATGGCTAAATTGGTCCAAAGGGTTCTCCCTATTCCCTATGATCTTCAGCTGGTTTCATAAATTCAGCCATGTCGTCTTATTTTTGTCCGCGTTACTCTTAAGGTTACGATTTCCAAACCTTAAGTTATACTTAGGGAAATTACCGTTAAGGGGTTTTATGCAACACTTAACGATTACTTAAGTGAAAAAACAGCCTTTAAGGGAAATTCTAAGTGTTTATGACGTTTCACTTAAAAAAACCGTTAAGTAAGGGTATTTTTCTGCAACACCCTTAGGTTTAAGGGAAACATAAGGGCGACTTTAAGGGAAAATTACACTTAAGGTGCTTTATGCAACCGGGCACAGGCATCTGCCTCCGGCTTAATAGAGCGAAGTCAGCACGCACGGCGTTTTACATGGCGTTCCCATAGCGTAAGCTACTTACGCAATAGGAGGAACCTCTCGAAAGGGAACGACTCGGTTACTAACGTAACCTCGGTTCCCTGAGAGGAGGGAACGAGTATTGCGTAAGCTGCCGTGCTTGTGCTTGGTCAGTTTGCTTCAGTCGATTGAACCTAAAGAACTCAGACGACGGGGCGCCCAATATATAGCCCTTGGCCACGCCCATCTTGGCGGGCTCTGACGCGCGTGGGCGCGAAGCACGCTCATTGGAAGCGGGTTCAGAGTCGCCCCGTCATAGGTTCGTGCGGTTGCCGCAGCACAGCCAATGACTGAGCTGCCTCGCTCATTGCTGTATGCTGTGCAGCTGCAATCGAGAAAAGGAGTTTTCCCATAGCGTAAGCTACTTACGCAATACTCGTTCCCTCCTCTCAAGGAACCAAGGTTACGTTAGTAACCGAGTCGTTTTTCTGAACACAACAAACTCATGCAGAAACATGTGCCTTTGTTGCTAGGAGATGGTCTTCATAGTCATATTATTCATAATCTGAAGCTAAAGAATCGGATTCTGTGCCCAATGCCCATAACTACACTACTTTTCTGCAAAATCTGTCAACTCCAACTGCCCAATATCAGAAGCTAGCTAATTTCGGCAACTAGCATCAACTGTAATTCAAAATCTGGACAAAAGCCATGTTGTGTTTTCCAGCCTTAAAGTTGACATTAAAAAGAAGTTGCGATAGTCTTTTCTTCCCTATGACGTAGGCCTATATCTGAGTGAAACGGCTTCTCAAACAAGAAAAAAGGGTACATATTTTTTTTAAAGGTAATGGTAATTCAATAGTAGCATGATAATATTATTTATAACAAATACTGAAATATTCCTTTAAAAAAAAGAATGTTCAATTTTGATTGCATAGTGACTTTAAGACTTTAAGGCATTTCATTTGAAACAAAAGAGAGCAAGTCTGCAGTGTGATAGACATACAGGTAGCAATTCTATTATCCCTCACAGTGGTTTGATAGTACATGACAAGGTATTGTTAGTGTAGATTAAATACAAATCTGGGAATGGTTGATTTTGTTTTTGATGTTTAGAGTGATATGTGAAGTTTGAAGGGCTACATGAAGATGTTTCCATTTTTTAAAGGTGAGAAACTGTAAACCCTGTTTTATTATAGTTTTTTCCCCTCTTGTAACATCAGGACTGAATAACATTTAAATAATAAATTTAAATATATATATATTTAAAAAGAAGTTAGCAGATATTAAGTAGGTCCATGTCCATTTTAAATCTTATTGTGCATAACAGAAAACAATGCTTTCCACGGCCAATGTCCAAACAGAATAACCAAAATGTTGATCATGCTTGCTTGGTTATCCAACCTTCTTTTTGGAATCGAAATGAGTCCAGAGTCAGACACACAATTACATACAAGGAAAATTAGTTGCCCTTCTTTATTTAAAATGAATAAAGGGCATAAATGACCATACATGTGTGACCTCACATAATCATGCAGTCAGCAGAGTGTCTAATGAATTATATATTGCATTAATTAAAGTGGAAACCTCGAGGGAAGCTATTTGAGGTCACAGTTGGAGACATAAGCTCCTTATTTACTCATTATCACACTGAAATGAAGGCACATTTTACAGTACTGTTTAAATGAGTTTATAATACTAAGGGCATCAAGATTGTGGAATCTTCTGCCATCTTGTGGCTGAATGTGATTTTTTATTTTTTATTACAACAAGTTGACGAACTGTGAATGCGTCCAAACTTTTGAATCGAGTACATTTTGTAGGTATGCAGGTGTGTAGTATACATATATTCTAAGACATGCTACATCCACCATGTTGGATAAGTCATTGTCCTTGCGCGTATGTTATTTGACTAGCAAAAACCATGAACACAATTTACCTCTCATATTTTTAAACATTTCATTAAACATTATTGTGATATTAGATTGGAGTTTAGGTCAAGTGGGTTTGTTCGTCCAAAACACTGAGCAGTTATTGGAGGAATTTTATTTTGGTTCAAAACAGGCAGCTCCCAGTTTTCAGAAAAGGGGCGGGGCCGACTCTATTTTATCACGTGATCAGAAGCAGCCAATACATTTCGTCGACTAGAGTGACTCACAAACGGTCATCGCCAATCCGACAGTTCGCCGCGCTGAACTCAAATCTCTGTTTGAAAGAGCGTGGTCTGTATTTGAATGTTAGGATAAATGCTCTTCAAAATCATTTTTTAATCTGAGATACCTATACTTGTCTTGCCTGACTGATTGAAGAAGCCTCAGATAACGTAAGTAGATGTTGTTTTGTCAATCGTTAGCATTGATTTGTGAGTATTGCCATGATCTTTTTGACGCGTGTTAGAATAATAGGGATCCTTGCTGATTCTTTAGTAAGTTAACGTTACTGGTAGAATTTAGTAGAAACCCGCTGATTATTTATGTTCAACATGTTTATAGGTATCATATATGTCTGGGTGCAACCACCACCTGTTTCCATTTTGATTTCCATTTTAAAGTAGCAGCTATGGTTTTCTCTTAACTTACCTAGCATCTAGCGTCATCAGATAGAAAAATATATCTGTCATGTCAAATATTTGTCATAAATATCGACAAATCTAGCATTCACTTCAATAATGAATGAATTGAGACTAGTGTATTGCATAGTTTGCATATTTTATTAAATGCAGAGCCTTTTTGGGGTATACGTTAGTTAGCTAACGTTACTAAAATGCAGTTATAAAAAGTCCCAAACAATCATCTATATTTTAACTATGAATAAAAGTGAAATCAAGAACAACACAATGTCTAAAACTTAAAATAAAATGAAAAATAAAAGCTAATTTAAAATATTAATAAATACTTTTTTAGTATATAAATCTAAAATAACACTTTTTTTACACACACATAGATAGAGAAAGGGAGGGGTCAAAGGGGAAATGTTGCTGTTTTAAAAACTATTAGGCAGGTAAACTTGAGACATCTTTTCTTGGTTTGCTTGTTTGACCATTATAACAATGTGATGTTCTGCAGGGAAGATCATCATCTTTGAAGAACTGTCCTTTCCCTGATGCACAGAATGGAGTCGGTGGTGACGAGAAAGGTAACTTTGCATTTTGTGAAGTAGACCAGTTCTTTCATAGATTTAGAACATTTATTTCTCACATGTACATGTGTAAAATATGTCTAAGTATGCATGAAATGTAGTTTGCCCAATTGTGCTCTTTATCACTTCTATTTAGAATAACAAGGAGAACAATAAACCAGTTTGTGGCCCAAAGAAACAAGTCTGCAGTATTGTATCAAAACAAAGAGTGATAAGTAAATCGGCACCTCTTCAGTCAAAGAATGATCTTAAGGAGGGTAACTCTGGAAAAACAGAGAGAGAGAAGGATGTTAGAGCGAAGACCAAAACTAATGATGCTGATCCTACTAAGCGCAACACACTAAGCCAGGCCTTCCGTACGCAGCAGACTGTAAGACACAGGAAGCTTGTGGAAGAAGTTCAAAAACCACCTTCTACTGTCTCTGCCATTCAGAAATCCAAACCTGGTACATATAAAGGCCGTGTGGTACAGTCTAAAATAGACTGTTTCAGAAAACCCAGTGGTGATGCGATTGCGAAGACCACAGAAAAGAAAGTGATTCCAAAACCTGAATTGCCTAAAGTCCGGTCCAAGTCTGTTACTTCACTGCCGGCGTCCACTAAACCCAGAGTCAACTTATCCAGACCGAAATCTGTTTCTGATGTCCCGCTGAATGCCACTAAAAAACCAGTCCAGAAGTCAGTTTCCCATAATCGGATACTTCAGAAGGTCTCGGGCTCCATCTCTCAAGCAGGTGCCCCGCGGGTTTGTGTTCCCCCCAGGCCAGCCCCTCTGGCTACAGGGCGCTCGGCCATCAGACCCACCGCTTCAAAGAAGCAAGAGATGGCGAAACCCGAACCAGCCACCACTGAACAGAATGTCCACAGACCTGTCACTAGTACAATCAGCCAGTACAAAGTGCAAATGAATACTGCTGAAGAGAGAAGGTGAGTTGTATACACTGCCATTAAAAAGTTAAGAAGGTAAGATTATTATAGGAAAAGACAAAGAAACTTATACTTTAATTCAGCAAGGATGCATTAAACGAATCATAACTGACAGTAATATATAAAATTGCAAATAAATATATCATGGTTTCTGGAAAAATATCAAACAGTGCTTTTTTAAATGGTGATAATAATAAGAAAATGTGCTTATTCGAATGATTTCTGGAGGTTCATGTGACCCTAAAGACTGAAAAAATGGCTGCTGAAAATGAATCTTAGCTTTCATAGGGATAAATTACATTGTAAAATGTTTTGAAATGTTATTTTAAATTGCAATTATTTTTGATCAAATAAATGTAGATGTTGCCTTGGTGTGCATAAGAGACTTCTTTCAAAAAACATTACACAAAACTTTTGAATGGTTGTTTATTTTAGAAACTTCAGTCATATCCTGCATGCAAAACCTGATCAATTATAGCTAGACAAGTGTGACAGTGCACTGATAGCAGAGGATATATTAATGTGGTTGCCTAATGTTTAATTTATATTCTGCTTTCAGAGCAAAGCTTGCAGAGTGGCTGGCATCTAAGGGAAAGACCCTGAAGAGGCCTCCGGTCTCAGAAAAGTCAGCAACCTTTTCACAAAAACCAGCTCCACAGCCTAAAACTAGAGCCAAAGCCCCAATTGGTGCCAAGTCTAATCCTGTCACCCAAACTGAGGCTGTGAAACCAACCCCTGCATTGCAGACCAACAACCAAACTGATAATATTAAAGTCCCCGACAATAAACCAGTGTATTCTAGCGGAGCAAGCAATGTTATGAATACCACACTAGACTTGCTGGACAACAGTGACATGGATCTGCCAGTCGACCCAGAGATAAGGATGGAGTCTGTAAGAACTATAAGAGAGTCTCATTTGTCACACACACATGCACTCGATCATGTGTATAGTCATTTTGTAACTTATTTCTGTTTTGCAGTTGGTGATAAACTTGTGTGATAAACTGGAGGCAATGGAGACACCCTCATCCTGTGAAGATGGTGAGTCTCATGGGAATTCTTTCTGCAGTAATTGCAAATTAATTCTAGAGTAAACCAATTTGTAGTCGTGATGTGATTTTCATAAATTGCTCATGTTTTTGCCCATCCCCGACAGGCATAAATGCTGACAGACCTGATGCGTTGGCAGAGGAAAGAATGGAAGGACAAGTGGAGGAGCACAAAATGGATAAAATGTTTGAAATTCTGGAAGAGGAAGAACTGAGATATGAGGAAAGCTCAGAGAGCGACATTACAGAAGACACTAAGAAGGCTGGCATAAAGATTGAGGATGATGATCAGGAACTTAAGGAGAAAAAGGCATTTGAGAGTGAAGATGACAGTGATGATGAGATGAGGAGTGCCACTCCAGAGATGGCAGGGGCTTCCATTGTGAAATACAACGTGAAAACGACTCCATATCTGCAAAGGTGAGTTTGGGGTTATTAGAATGATTATTAAAACTTTATAATGATAGTTCTAGTTATTGTCCTAGGTGTGAACGGGCCTTATGATGTTTAAATATTAATTTGGTTTTCTCTTCGTGCCCTTTTAGTGTGAAAAAGAGAATCGATTGCGAAACCGCACCAGCCAGTGGCTCGCGACGCAAAAGCACCATCAAAGACCTAAAGTTTCTGACACCTGTGCGACGATCAACACGAATCCAGCGTAAGTCCTCTCGTCTGCCAGGTATGCTGAACGACCATGACACTTGTGTCTCCTCATTGGCTGAGCTGGTGCAGATGGACGATACAGATGCGAGTGCTTACATCTACAGAAAAAACCCGGCCCTACTCGAAGACCTTCCTGATCAGCCTGTAGACTTTGCAAAAGTATGCAGTTAAACAATATAAGCGGATACAACACTAATGTCACTTTCAAATTGGACATTTATAGCATACATAACACCTATATTTGAAGTATTCTATGTGACACTATTAAAAATGCTTTATTTTAATATTTAAGTGTTTGTTGCATTTGGCTGCAACATGGAGTAATCTATTAACTGCAATGGCTTAAGTTTAAGGACAATAATTCGATTTATAGGCACTATTGTGAAAATATGCTATGCTAACATAAGGCTCATGCAGTGTGTATATATAAAGAGCTATTTCTGTATTTTGTTGCATTTTAACTCTACAGTCCTTTTGTTGGGGAGAAAATTGACACTTGGAAAAAGGAGGATTTGTTTTGTTGGTCTGTTTTGGGCAGTATCAAAAAATTATCAAACCAAAGAATGTTGCCTTTCACTTATGTAATTTCTTTGTAAGATGTTTAAGATGCTGCAATTGTTATTTGTTCAGTTGTTTATTTTCTCACTTTTAAATATGTAAGTGTTTTTTGAACTTACAGTAGTCATTTATCGTTTTAATAAACTAAACTTTGTTCAAATGAGGATTTAATTGAACCCACACTGACCATGTCTTTTTAAAGGCAAGATGAGCATTCAGCTGTATTTTAACCATTCTTTTGATCACTACTATGACCTAAAACATCTTAATAAAGAATATTTCATTGTAAAAACAAAATAAATCCTCAGTGTCATTATTAACATAATAGAAATATTGGTTTTAATTTCTCATGCATGTACTAAAGGGTTTATTTGTTCAAAATGACAAATGGTAGTTTATTCACTGATGTGTGACATAGATGTTGTGCAGAATGACAGTTTCAGTCACCATTCACGTTTATTATATGAGAGATGCAAGGCAATTCAATTGTGACTGGACTTTTTTTTTTAAAGTCATATAATACCGTTAGTTTTTTTCCTTTTCGGGATAGCGGTTACGTAATAAATTGCTCATAAAAATATTGTTTTGAATCTATGATTTATTCATGTTCCTCCCTAACTGCCGCCAATTTCTCCCCGTAAGCGCACGCTGATTGGCTGGAATTTGAACTCGCGTTGCGAGAGCAAAGCATTGTGGGACGGAGATGAACTCCAACGCGCTTCTCCTCCAGGCCACACAAAGCACTAGAGTGCAGATCAATTTACCGCTTTATTAGTCTCTAAAACTAAATTTTGTAAACTTTCTGAACGGAATATCATAACAGTGTGTCAAATGAACTGGATTCGCTATTAAGATTCGACTCAGAGTGGACGCACGATGCCTAATTTCTGCGCGGCGCTGAACTGCTCCAGGAACAGCACTCACTCGGTGCTGGCGTTCTTCAGGTTTCCACGGGACGCTGAGAGGTATTACCAGACGGGCTTTGGTATTACACACGTTTTCCTCATCTATCTTACTCTTTGTTAGCCAGACGATAAGATTTCGCGTTTAAATTTCATTTAACTTCATTTATTTACCAGTATAGACTATGCAGAGCTCTCCTGAGCTAACTACCTTGCTTAAAGATCAGATGCAATTCTGTCAAATATTAAATAGTGTTTATATACTACTACACTAAGTATTATTACAGAACTGGGAGTTATTCACCAGACAGCCCAGTTTTACTCAGCATTTCTATTGTTCATATTGGATAGGGAAGTCTATGTTAACTTAGCCCAACTGGCTATTACAACACAGACTGAATCTACTCATCTGTCATATGAACTTCATTGATCTCAGTGTGAATGTTGTGTATTAGCAGCCAATCACAATCAACATTGTGTAATACAGTAAAAACAAAAATAGGCACTATATCATAGTATTACACAGATACAATATTACATGTTTACATCATTGTACTTAATAACTGCTATGATGCTTCATTCATGTCATTTATTCCCTAGATGTAAGAAGTGGGTGGAAAACTGCAGTCGCTCAGACCTGAAAGACAAAACGCCGGACCATCTGAACAAATACCACAGACTGTGTGCAAGGCACTTTGAACCTAACTTGATCACCAAAACCGTAAGTTATGAATTCATTCTCGGTATGTAATTATTGTGGTAGTTTTCTAATGTACTTAAAATTATACTTTAAAATTATAAAATTTGTTTTAAAACCTTTAAAATTACATGAATTTGTATATGTATAATGGAAAGGGTATGTTTTAGGTACTGTTACACTTAAATGTAATATTTTTTAAAAATCTAAAATAAAATAAAAATATATTTATAGTTATTATACACAAGTATTAGAAAATTGCTGTATAGATTAGTATAGCATGTACAACTATTGGACACTACAGCTTGATATCACAACTTCCCATTAATAAATAGCATGCGATTACTAACATATTGCATTGCACATTATTGTTATTATTACTCAGAGCCCTTTCAGGACTGTACTGAAGGATACTGCGGTACCAACCATATTTGACAATCCTTCCTTCAAACGGTCAAATAATGAGGTAATAGTTGCTCAGTATGTTTTAATCTATGTTGATAGTGTACTGTATTATGCCCGTCTCTTTACATATCAAAGTAAAGTTGAAATTCAGTTATGTCTAAATACTGAATGTGAGTGGTTTACTAAAAACATACCAAATTCTTTAACAGACTGAAAATAAGGATGCCCCTGAAGCGAAGAAGAATAAATGTGAGTTGCTTTTGTGTTTTGTTTGTGTCTTTGTTTTATGATTCAGAACTATCTAGGCATTGCAATATAATTTTTCTCACATATTTACATACCTCTCTTGCAAAATCTGCAATTTAAATAAAACTTTTCATTTTTTTAGTAGTGCTGCTATAATATAGCTATTTGACATTCTTTATATGTACATGTATTCCACAATACAAAATAATGACTAAATGTACACAAATATTGTTTTTACATTTTCAGCGGACTCCCAAAGTGAGGAAACTAAAGATAATAGTGAGACAACAACCAAAGAGATCAGTGCGAGCAAAAATGGTGATGGGGTTGACAGCAGCCCTCAGGTCGTTGACGAGGAAACGCTGAATAAAGAGTATCTCAAGTCTCTGTTTGATGTTGTCGTGATGATGGGCACACAGAACATCCCTCTGCATGGGCACTCTGACAAAGAACCCAGAAGCAAAAGCTTCACTCCCAGCAACTTCCAGGCACTGTTGGAGTACCGGATCAACGCAGGCGACGAATTCCTCAGAAAGAAGTTTGAGGGGTCGCCTGTAAACCTCGAGTACTGCTCCTCCACTCAATTGCAGCAGATGCTGGAAGTGATGGAAAAGGGCATTCGTGAAGAGCTTTTGGCTGATGTTAAAGAAGGACGCTTCTTCTCTTTGGTTGTAGACAACCTGGTTGAGATAGGCAGAGAGAGCCATCTCCCATTGTTCGTACGTTTTGTGGACAAGACCAACAGCCTCCGGGAGGAATTCGTCGGGTTCCTGCTCTTCGAAGGTGATGTGGAGGCTATCACCGAGAGGCTTGTCGCTGAAGTGACTGAGAAATGTGGCCTGGACATGCAGTATTGCAGAGGACAGGCATATTTGTGTTCTGGTGTGTCCACTACGAAGGTCAAAGCGGTGGTGGCCAGAATAGCTGAGCTACACCCACTGGCCGTTGTCACCCCTTCCTCCAATTGCTCCTTGAACATCTGTCTGGCGAACACAATGACGTTCACAGGAGTCCATCTCGTCATGTCTACCCTGAAAAAGCTGGATGCATTTTTCAGTAAATCGCCCTTGTTGCAAAATCAGCTGGAAAGTGCTATTTCGATCTACTACCAGGGAAATGAAGAGAAAGCCTGTGTCCTCAAGGAGGCGTGTTCCTCGAAATGGACCGAGCAGCACGATACATTTGAAGTAGCTGTTGACCTCCTGGAGTCTCTCCTGCTTTGCATGGATAGCGTCCATGACAACGAAGATCACAAATGGAACGATGAAGTGGCGCACAACGCCTTCATCATATCCGAGGCATTGGCCGATTTTGAATTCGTCATGACGTTAGTGGTGTTGAAAAACGCGCTTTCTTTCTCTAGAGCCTTTGGTAAGAATCTGCAAGGGCAAACGAATGAAGTCTTCTTCGCATCTAACAGTCTAACTGCTGTTCTGCATTCTCTGAATGAGGTTTACGATAATATCGAGGTCTACCATGAGTTCTGGTTCGAGGAGGCTGTCAATCTGGCTGCAGCCCTTGAAATCCCGGTAAAAGTTCCCAGGCTGTACTTCAGAAAACGACCAACGTCTGGTGAGGAAATCCAACCTGAAATCTACTATAAAGAGCAAGTCACCCTTCCTGTGGTCACCCATGTGATTAAGGAGCTCGCTGACCTTTTCTCTGAAAATCATCTGAAGGCCTTGAAGTCCTTGTCACTTGTCCCTGCCATCATGGGACAGTTGAAGTTCAACACCACAGAGGAGACCAGTGCAGACATTTATAAAGATGACCTGCTGAACCCAGACACCTTTCCTGCCGAGTTGCACTGCTGGAAGATCAAATGGAAGCATGGAGGTAAAGATGTTGTATTGCCATCCACCATCTACGAGACACTTCAGCTGTCCGATGTGAAGTTCTTCCCCAATGTGTGTGCTCTCCTGAAAGTCCTGTACAATCTGCCAGTCTTTGCTCTGACAAATGAGAATTGCAGCACTGCGAAACAACGACTGACAACATACCTGGAAGATACACCCGTGCATCACAGAAACAAAAGTATGGCCCTGTTCTATATTAACTCTGCCATTAAGCATGATTTGGACAACATGGTGGAGACATACTTGAAAATGTATCCAGATAGTGAGCCATCGGAGAAACGTGATTGATTACAGGGAGCAGTACAGTCTTATTTATGGCAGTTTGATGACTCTGCTTGTCAATCAGCAGTTTGTAATTTTGCAGCTATAATTTTGTTACTTTAGCTCTTCATGTACAGTCAGCCGGGATTACCAGTACTCAATCCTTTTCTTATTGTCCTACTGTTTCATTTAACATTGTATATATACGTGTACACTCAATTTGAATTTATTTGAAAACATTAAAAAGATATTTTCCTGTCCAGCTCCATGAATGTGTCTTGAAATTGTCCTGTGTGTTTTTCAGAATTAAAAACATTTCTCCAAAAAATATAAACATCTTATGTTTTCTGTTCTTCATCTTTGGTATAATTTTATATTAAATCAATTTGGACTGTCAAATAAATTGTGATTTCCTTTGGACACTGTATTATTACATTTAATAATATTTCTAGAAAGAATTTAGAAAGATGCATTACAAATGTAACGGTTATTCATTGAAATTTCAATTATTATGTCATGCACATAAACATTTATTTTGTATGCATATTGCATTTACTAAATATTTATATTGCCATATCACAAAGCTTGGTTATTTTACTGGTACATTATTAACCCTGAGGCCTTTGATTACAGCTTCAAGATGCCATATTAAATCGTGTATTTATTCACACATTTAAGTTTTACTTAAGTAAGCATGTAATACTCCTAGAAAAACTAGTTCAAATCCTTTTACTGAACAAACCACATGCCTTTTCTAAAAATGTTTCAAAAACATTAAATCACTTTATTAAAACACTCCAAAGTAAAAGAGTAAGGTGGGAAACAACTACTACCAAACAGAATGTATTATAAATATTAATATAATTTAAAATTAGAATAAAAATTAATACATGTACCAAATGGTGGTTGTGTTTTATAACATATTTTAGAGGAGCAAACTGAAATTAAAAATCTGTAGCCATAATGAAATATTGTTAACATGAAATCGAGACAGTCTGAACCGAACCTGTAATTTATTGTTGACAGCTCTGTGTACATCAACAACTTTTATTATATCCAGTCAAATGTTACCGGTGGGATTAAATGGGTTAAACTAATTGTTGCATGCATACTTACACCATAGACTGTAAAAAAGACTTACACCTATAAAATAGTTATGACTCAATATTAAGTGTTATTAAATGGGTGTGACCTCGAATGTTCACGTGGGTTACAAAAAAAACCCGCTTTGTCGCCTCGTGGAGACGGAAACAATTTGTATTTGAGTTATCACTTGTACTACATTTTTTTCAAATCATTTGTGCGTTTTTTTTTTGTTTTTTTTTTTTTTTTACATATTCTGTAAATGCACGCAAATGTACGCGAGAAGGGGAACGAATGACGACGATATATTTATTTTGGGGGGGATCCGTCCTCAGTTTAGTCCATTTCCGCTCTACATAGGTGTTCTTCCTGGTTGTTGAATCCTATGTGAAAGTAGCAACATTTCGGCCATGAGCAAGTTCCAGTAGAATGCACGCGACGATTGGAAAAATCGCTCGATAGCGTTAAATCTATGTAACGTTAGAAGCGCGCGCGCGCTCTTTTTGCTTTCAACGCATCTCATTTTGCGCTGGAGGTTCCATGCAATGCAATATTCATTATGATTAAGTCCAAAATGCCCGAATGCTGTGCCGCAGCAAACTGCAAGCAGAGTGCGGACCAGTCCAACGTTTCCTTCTTTAGTTTCCCGCTGGATCCTGATCGGTGAGTGCAGCCTTTTGTGCGTAAATGCAGTCGCAATTTAATCAATGTTAATTTTTTCCTTTTTATATTTTTATTTAAGTATAGAATGAGCAAATTAGCTTTATTTGTTAGCTGGTTAGCTTCTGCCCCCCCTTAGCAATGATTCATTGAATGCATTAAACCCGTATTTTCAGTTAGGCTTATCATGCTGCTTTCATTAATCTTTATGCAGTGATTTTTTTGCAAAGGCTTATTTTGTAGCTGGCAGTTATGAAATCACCTTTCATGTTTCTTCAAAGTGATTGCTTCAACTTTTATGGGGTTACTGTAAGCAAACGAGCTGTGCACGTTCGCCATCATCAGGCCCTTCCCAAAATGGCAGGAATTTAATTCCCTCAGAATACGTTATTCTGTTTATGGCTTTATTTGTGCTTTGCTGGTTTCTTTTTGTGGTATTTGGTATTTTGTGTCATTCATTAAACATAAATGCTTTGTTGTAGTTGAGGTTTTTAATGTTAAAACATAATGTTTTTGCACTACTGCAGTAACCTTACCTCATATCTCTAGATGTAAACAATGGGTGGGTAACTGCCACAGACCAGATCTGGAGACCAAAACAGCTGAAGATTTACACAGGAACTATAAATTGTGCTCAAAACATTTTGAGACAGCAATGATATGTCAGCAAGTAAGTGAGCATTTTCTGTTTCTTCATATCTGGCATTATCTGCTTGATGTAAGTGAACAAAACCAGACAAGTGTAGTGTTGACCAGTGGGCTGACTTGTGTCTGTGTCACCCCCCAAAAATTTTTTTACATGTCATTATATGTTTGTAAATGTTAAAAATAAATTTCCTACATGGTTATTAAAATGAGTTTTGTGTGAATTAAAGCAGATTCAATCAGGTATAAATATAGCATGAATGTTGGTGAATTGACAATGTTTGATATACCACATTAATTTTGCTAAAGGTTATTAAAGAATTATTAAATTATACATATTTCCCATGATGATAGTACTGTGCTACATGCTTTAGTGTTAGTTTTAGTGGCTAAACTAGATTACAGTAAACTTTTCATTTAAATGAAATACATTTAGATTGGTCTTATTAAAAACACTTTTGTAAAATTCAGTTTGCTCTTCTAAGAATTTGATTGTTTCTTAAAATGGATAAAATGGTCAATTCATTCACAATATTAAATTTGTTTATGGGTGCCTGCAAAATAAGACTAGGATGTTATTAAATTGATAATTGGGATGTCTTTATTTTTTTGTATAAATTGCTGATTTATTTTTATTCACATTTTATTTGAAATATAAATCATTCCCAAATAATAATCCCTGACCCAACCCCATGTCACCATATACCCCTGTGTGCTGAAATGTATAAAACTCCTTTCTTTTTTTTCCAGAGCGATCTTAAGTCTGTTTTGAAGGATGATGCCATTCCTACTATATTTGATTTTGCATCTAACCAGGACAATGCACAAACTAGCAACAGAAAAAGGACAAGGGAGAAAGTAAGTCTCTGATTTACACTTCAGAATCTTATTAGTAAATCAGTAATGCATGGTCTCTAGCAACTCCTGAAAAGAAGGATATACCAAAATCTGGTAAGCCTAAAGATGATGTGAACGGACAGGTTTTAAAGAGTTTCTTTGTAAAGAGTGGTACAGTGAACCCTGCACATAGTAGCAAAAAAATTGAGTTTCTGAGCTAACAGTTTTTGCATGCATTGCTCTGCATAAGACTAATTTTCAGCATAATCTTACATGATATAGACTTTTATGAAGCAACAAAAAATAATGGAGCAAACTACTCACCCTTTTTATAAAAAAATTTTTTTTTAAAGTTAATGCTAATAAAGTTAAATATGCGATGACAAGGTATACAAACACTTTAGGGATTGAGTTCCGTGTAGATCAATTACCATTTGAATGTAAATGTGATTCCACCATTTCATGTAAATTACATTTCATGCTTGTAATAGTTCTCAATGGTCCCTTAGCCCGTGTGTCCACCAAAGCGGTTTTCCACGTGCCTGGCGTATGTTTTCAATTGTTTTCAATGGGAGCGCCGCGATTTTAGAATGCCATGAGCGCAACGAGGCGCTGAACGTTTTTTTCACGCTGAAGCGCTGAGCGCCCGGCGTTTTTTACTGGTCGCCGAGAGTTGAAGAATATTCAACTTTGGGTAAAACGCAGCGCTCATCACTGTCACTTTTTACCCAGCCGTCCAATCACAGTGGAGGAGGGGCTTGACTAATACCACACCAACCAACTGTCACAACATTCTTTCTGTACAACGACATCAACCAGCAGAGCTAACCGATGAAAAATATATTTTTAGTATGAAACAAATTATCTGCGAAATCAGTTACAAGTAAACTGTGGTGCGGATATTCTGTATCATAGCAACGAAACATCTCAACTGAAAAAATGCTCCGCTGCCAAAACGCTCTCAAGCGCCCAAAGCTAGGCGTTTTCAGCAGAGCGTCTAGCGTTTTCAGCAGAGCGTCTAGCGTTTTCAGCTGGCTAAAAACACTTTGGTGGACACACGGCCTTACCCAACAAGCCTTTCATAATTTGTAGCTATCAATAAAGAAATGTATTAGCTTTTTATTGTTATTATTCATTGTTTTTATTTGTCATGTCTACAATGTGTTATCTTATTTTTTTCAGACAGGAGATGGGCCAATTGTCACAAAGAAAACTAAAGGTAGATAATGCATTCCATGTCAGCATCTTTTAATTCTCTCCTCTTTTTGTAATTACACAAACTAATTACCGGGGATTCTCTGCTATTTTGTTTTTCTCTCTCTCCTTTATTTGTTTTGAAGGTGCCACTGATAACTCAAACCCCTCTGTGACAGAGGTGGAAGTTAAAGTTGAGAGTGACTCAGCAGAGAACATTGAAGCTCAAAATCCTCCTGCACATGATGAATCAGAGGAGGATCCTGCTATTTCCAAAGCGAAGGAAACTTTGAAAGACTACTTCAAAGAGACATTAGCCTTCACTGGTTTCAGCATCGCCAACAATGCATCTCTTAACTCTGTTAAGCCTTTGGGTAATGACCCAGCTGGGCCGCTTTCAGTCAATACCATATGTGCAGAGAAGATCGACCAAAAAGAAGTGCTCAACTTAGGTGAAGATGTGATGCGTGAGGAGATCCGCAATAGCCTGCGCCTTGCACGCTTCTTTTCCATACTTCTCCAAGACAAAATAAACATTGAGGGCAAGGATCAGATTCCTTTGTTTATCCGCTCTGTCACAGGTGAAGGCTTCCCACAGAAACACCTCATGGGATTCCTTCCCTGTGATGTCGACTCTGACAGTCTGTTCCTAATGCTTATATCCGAGGTCCGCAACAAGTGGGGCCTTCGGATGGAGCACTGCCGTGGCTTCACCTACCTGTCATCAGGTAGCATGTGTCAGAAGCTGAAGGATCTCGCCTGCAGGATGTTGCGGGATTTTCCACAGGTAGTTTTGTCCCCCAGTGAGCCCTACGCCTTCAACATGTGGTTGATTCGCTCCATGCCTATCCTTCCAATTCAAGATGTTGTTGATACTGTAGAGCAGGTCGCTGCCGTTATTAGGCAATCAGAAACTCTGGCGAAGAAACTTGATACCAAGATCACCGCTTCATACAGTCACATCAAAGGTGAGGTGGACCGAGTCAAGGATTCTTGCCAGAACCATTGGGAATATGGCACCGATGCTTTCCAGACAATGCTTGATATCTTGGAGCCGCTTTTGAGCAGCATTGGAGAGATGTGCACCAGTGCCCTTTCAGATGTGGATGCAGACACCGTTGAAGTGCTTCTAAAGCTGAAAGAGAAACTGAAGAACTTTAATTTCATCATTACTCTTGTGGTCTTAAAAAACACTCTGTGTTGTGTAAGCATCCTGAACCCCAGCCTCAGGGGAATAATCAGCATCAGCAGCACTTTACAGTACACCATCTCAAACGCCTTAAAGCTTCTCACCAAACACATGCAGGAGATTGACATTTTTCACAGGAAGTGGTTCTCCGATGCATTGGGCAGAGCCAAGAAGTTGGGGGTGTCTGTCAATTTGCCAGTGGAGATGGTGACAAATGGGGATGGCACGGAGAAACCACAAGTATCATTGGAGGATTACTACAGGGAAGCACTGAGCAAGAAGGTTTTGCAATACCTTGTTGATGAAGTCAAACGAGTCCTTGGCACTGAAATGGCAAGAATCCTCAGATGGTTGTCATTGGTGCCCTCATATATGGCTGACCACAATTTTAGCATCCGCAAAGACAAAGTTGCTGATGCTAACCTGAATAACTTGGCTCGTCCTGACTCCTTTTATGATGAGCTGGGCTGTTGGGAAGTGAAATGGAGGCATGCTAGCAAGCGAAGGATTCTTCCAACTAGTGTGTTTGCGACCCTCAAGATCCCAGATATAGGCTTTTACCCAAATGTACAGAGCCTGTTGAGAGTGCTGGGCACCATCCCTTGTGTCCACGCAGATTCAGATGTGTATGGGCAGTACGACATGGTGCTGGACCGGTATCACACCTACATGAAAGAAGTACCAGTGGAAAAAAGACTGAGCAATATGGCCTTTGTTTATGTCAATCAAGATGTCCACTTTAGCATTGAGGAAATGGTTGAGGCGTATGTAAAGAAATATCCAGAAATCCTGCAGCTATTACAGGAGGTAAACATATTTTTATTGACTGATTAAAAAATGTTTTTATTTTTTTACTTGTGTTATATTACATTTAATTACAGGAGATAATGGCAAAAAACAAACTCAAATATGTTTTTAACCTGCTGTTCACCATTTTTGTGTGTGTGTTTTTAGGATGATGTAATGGAAGTGCAACCATCAGGTAAAACGTCTGTCTTCTGACTTCATGTTAACGTTGTCTTGTTTTCATAGCTCAAACCAGATTAAATTGAATTTTATATTAGATGCAGTTGTTGATTTTTCTTTTTCAACCCCTATACAGTTCCAGAAACCAGTACAAATGACGCTTCTAAAGAAGATGCGGAAGAACAAAGAGAGATGACTTTAAATATGGACGTTGAGAGACCGAAACCACCCGAGTGTGCAGAAACTGATAAAGAGGCATTAAAATCTGCATTACAGGCTGCTGTCACTGCAGCATATAGCAGGCAAAGCAGACACACTCAGGGTGATCAAGATCAAGAAGTAGAATATGTGACCAAATCTGAGATGAATGAAGTCCTTAAAGTGTGTGAGGATGTTGTTAGGGATAGGATTCTTTCAGAGGTCAGAAATTCATTCTTCTCCCTGTTTATCGACAGAGTTGTCAGATTTGGAGAGACTGACTACTTACCCATCTTCCTCAGATTTGTTGACAGTTTCGATGTCATGCGCCTTGAGCTTATGGGATTTGTCGAGGTTACTCTTGACACTGAGGCCATTTGCGAACGACTTTATGATGTTGTCACCAATGAGTGGAGTCTGGATTTAAGCTACTGCAGAGGTCAAGCTTACCTTGGCTCTGGTGAAGTGTCCTACAAGCTCAAGGCTTTTGCTTGTAAAATACAGGAGAAGTATCCTCTTGCTATATGCACACATTGCTCATGTTACTCTTTCAATACCTGGTGGTCAAGGTCAGTTCCAGTAGCTGCAGTCATCAGAGCCATAGACACATTAGAGGAGATAGTGTCTTTTTTTCACAGCATGCCTGCCCTTGAGAAACAGTTAGATCAAGTCTTAGCCATAGGCCTAAGAGAGAGCTATGAGAAAATCCATGAGCTTCAAGGAAAATTCTGCTCCTCTTGGCTTGAAAAGCATGACTCTTACGAAGTCTTCGCTCAGATTCTGGAGCCTCTGGCAGATTGGCTAGAAAATATTGACAACTGTCAACCACAAAGATGGAGTTTGGCAGTATCCAACAGAGCCAAAAGACTACTTCAGTTAATTCGGGACTTTGACTTCATTGTGGCAATCGTTGCGTTAAAGAATGCCTCATCCTTCACCAGAGAACTAAGTGCAGCGCTACAGAAAGACCATTTTAGTGCTGCCTCGCAGCTCAGCCAGATCAGTGGTATTGTGGCCACACTTAACCGAGTGAAGACCAACATCAAGGTTTTCCATCAGAACTGGTTTGATGAAGCTTGTTGTTTTGCTCAGAATCTGGGTGTGCAGGTTAAAGTGCCTGATAGTGTGATTGTTCCAAGGGACAGCCTCTTGAAACCAGGTTCATACTACAAAGATGCAATGAGTGTCCCTTTAGTTGACCACCTGATAAACATGGTGAAAGATTATTTCTCTGATGACCACAAGGAGGCTCTCAACTTATTGTCCTTGGTCCCATGCTCTGTGACAATGAGCTATGTTTTTGAAACGCTTAAGTCAAAACCTCCATTGTACATTGGTGACCTTCCAGATCCTGACAATTTCTTCACAGAGCTGAGCTGCTGGAAAGTGAAGTGGAAAACGAAAGTGGTTAGTGTAACCATACCAGAGACCATTTTTCAGACTCTGCGTCTACCCCTTATGCAGTACTTTGCAAACATCAATACGTTGCTGAAGATTATGTGTGTGTTGCCAAGCACAGCCTTGGAATATTGTGGTGAGGTGAAGCGGCATAAAATGTATCAAAACTACTTGAGCAACACCTCACCCATGGATAGATTGCCCTGTTTAGCCATGCTTCAGATCGGCACTGACTTTAACAGAGACCTGGACAGAATGGTTGCTCAGTGCTTAAAGCTTACTCCTAAGACGCTGGAGGGCATTTGCCTGGTAAGGATCAGTTTTGTAAAAATTAGTTGCTTGTGTAAAATGTTTCATTTGCTTTCCAGATGTATTTCTAATGTCCGTTGTGCTCCACAGGACAAAGAATCCAAAACCCTAGGAAGGACTGCTGAAATAAAAACAGAAGGTATGTAATCTATGATTATTCTTAATGCTTTCTTTTTCTTTCTTTTTTTTAAAAGATTCTATCTAAATGTTTTTTCCCTTTCTTTTGGGTAAGGGAAAAGTAGGGGTGTCCCCGACTAAGGATTTTCATAGTCGAATCAGATTCGTCAAGTCCTGCCTATAGTCGACTAATAGTCGAATCATGTGTGTGGTGTTGGGCAGGGGGCAGGGCTTTAACATTTTAAAGCCGCGATCTACAGAACATCACACAAAGATATAGAAGAAAATGTATAAAAACATTTTGGATCAATAAAACTAAGAAATAACATAAATAACTGCAGAAAGGCCACACTGCATAGGATTTGCATTTCACATGCAAATCAAATAAAATCGGCTGAATTGCCTGTACGAGCATGCTCTAAGTAAGCCTACAGCGCAACATCGATGCACTGAAAAATAATCAACAATTAAGAACACAATATACATTTATAATAAATAAAAATACAAAACGAAATAAGTCAGAATCAAGTCACAAGAAGCAGAACAAATGTGTGCAAAATGCCTAAAGTGCAGGGGAACAAATATTCAAAACACAAGTCACAAATAGTTAAATTAGATCACCCCGAGTGATCAATTAATAAAATAAAAATAAAGAAATTATTAAAATAACGAAAGTATGGCCCAGGATTGTCAACTTTGTCTTTTTAACTGCTGAAACAACAATAAACGCTAAACTGGAGCGGCAGTCTTTTTAGCTAAACGTGTTCACAGTATCCAAAAATCAAATTAGAACCGGCTGAAATGTTTTGAAATCACTTGTAGCTACCCATACCTGATCGAAAAAACAAAATCCAGTCTTTCACTCGGCCTGTGTCCGTTTGAGTCTTTTCAAATTGTGTGCGCGGATAAAATACATTCTAACGCTTAACGTGAAAAACGTTTAACGGCTTTGTCCTAAAACTGTTATATTAAAAGATCAAATTCTGTACACACCTTATTAATAAAGCATAGTACTATATAGCCTACAGAAAAGCAGATGAGCCCAGAATATGAACGCAACGCGTTTTATTATAGGCTACGTTAAGCATTTTCCTCCCATAGAAAACCGTTAAAGAAAGAGCTTTACGTGACTTTCTATAGGAGAAACGCGTTGCGTTCATATTCTGGGTTCATCTGCTTATCTGCACATAGAATGGTTTCTTAAGGTGTGTAGCCTACTGTGTACACATTAAGCACGTAAAAGTGCCATTTAAGCGTTTTAAAAGCTTTTTTCACGTTAAGCGTTTTAGAATGTCCCGAGGAAAACCAACCTGTTAACGTTGGCCGGCAGAAGTGCGATCATGGTTTTCCTGATGCGAAATCCAGCCTTGGAGAATATCCTTTCTGATGGTGTGCATCTTTAGATTTTCTTATCCCAGACATTTTTAAAGATTTAAATCCCTGCCGACAAGACGCTCCTCTGTCGGTCACGGATCGAAAGTGAAACTTAAATCTGTCACGGGGTGTTTGGATTTATTCACGCTGCATGCACGTTACAAAATATTAATTAAAAGCTTCTTTCTTTGCACATTTGTATTGACAGCATTATCATAATAGGCTGTATATTAACGTATTGACAGAAAACCAGTAGTTCTATGTGAAATCAGACATTGAGCACACTCATATAGCCAAAATGACATAATCCTCATTAATAACACATCTGCGAAGATTCGACCGTGAGATTGGTAGTCGAATCAGGCTCCTCCTATCGAAGCATCGAATCTTCGACTATTCGGGGTCACCCCTAGGGAAAAGTATTTGTGTGTGTGGGTGTATATGTATGCATGTTTATGATGTATACTTGTTTTTCTGGTAGATAAGTTGTCCACATAAAGATCAATAACATGCATTAAGAAAATAGGATGAATTTTCAGTTCATGCCAACTTTAATTCCCACTTTGCCAACATTGCAGATGACATCCACATGGATGAAGTAGAGAACAGGGACACTCTGCAGGTTTGTTGCATTAATGATTATGTAGTATATCACCTCATATTTTAAGTGGGTTTAGAGAAGAGTGTAGATCGATGATCTAATTAAAAATCGCTTTGAACTATTTTAAGTAAAATGTTGCCTCATATCATGTTATTTGTAGAGATCGACCGATATTGATTTTTATTTATAACCGATACCAATTATTTGCATGTTTTTGTGCCTGATAACAGATATATAGAACTGATATTTATTTATTGTTTTATTTCTGTTTTTTTTTTTAAATAAAATATTTGATAAGGTAAACAAACAGGTAATGAATATAGCATGTAAAAATTATTTTGAATATTTTTATTTTATTTATAACAACAGCATATTAAAGGTATTGTAGGTAGGAATTTTATAAAAAAAAAACTTTTTTCCAAATTTGTTTAAACTTTCTGTATATATCAATGCATAATTAAAATGTAAGTACTCTGAAAAAGAAAGTATAAAAATCGAGTGTCTGTAGACCTCTCACGACTGTTTTAAAGACAGCTCATTATTTCCATTCACTCCACCCCCTCCCTTCTGGGCTCCTTCCAAAGCCACGCCCCAAAAACACATGAATGCGCGACTCCGACCGCTGAGCTGAAGACGCATTATTTACCTGAGACGAGCGGAGAGGAAGGAGCGCAGTGCATGTAGTGATATCATGTCAGAATCACATGTAATAAAAAAATCTAACTTTATCATTATGAAGATAAACAAATAAGATGTATTTTAGTACTCGCTATCAAGCTAGCATATTGATATTGGTAAAGTTTAAAATATATATTTATTGATTCGCTAACAAGCTAGTTATCTTTAAGGCAAAGCTAAAAACATGTTGCATGATACACGTTTTCCATTGCCATCATTTACACTGTAATGAAGATGAATTTCGTGTAACATTCATAACATATATGGTGTTCTGCATGTAAGAGTTTCCATGATGAAAGCATTGTTGACTGATGAGGACTACTACACTCCAGAGACAAGTACCGCATCGTCAGCTCGAGGACAGATCCGGGGTCGAGGGCGAAGCAGAGGAGGTCGTCACAAGGCGTCACTTTTCAGCCCCTTGAGGTCTCTCAGTTCTCGCCATCGCTGGAAAGCCACGCCGATATTGACACGCGTTTTATTTAGTTGTTTATCCAAATACTTTTTGTTCATTACCTTTTCTAGTAACGTTACAGTCTTCCTTTTTTTGCCTGGTTTGCCTTCGCGAACTGCATATGTGAATTTTGATTGGTCTTTTTCTTCCATTATTTTGCTATTCCTAGGTTCCGTGCCTCTTGAATTCCTCAAATCAAACGGGTACGCGCAAGTGGGCAGGTCCTGTGTGGCAAAAGGGTGGTTGCCATGGTTGCGAGAGAGTGACAGTCGCCTAAGCAAATCCTTTGTTTCGTCCCGGATGGAAATAATGAGCTGTGTTTAGTGCAGATTAAACGGTCTATAGTCACTCGATTTTTATACTCTTTTTATCAGAGTACTTACATTTTAATTATGCTTTGATATATACAGAAAGTTTAAACAAATTTGGAAAAAAGTTTTTTTTATAAAATTCCTACCTACAATACCTTTAAAGGTGCTATATGGAACTTTTCTTCTTAAATTAATCCTTTTTTTATTGCCTGTGTGTGAAGGGGTTGTAATCACACATTAGAATGATCCACTTGTCGGGTTTTGCTATTACCTCTGAAGGCCAATATTCATATTTATATGTGAAGTCTCCGGGTCGGATTTACCGCGAAATCTAGGGATGGCCCGAGACCGATACTGGCATCGGGGATCGGGCCGATACTGTCCTAATATACTCGTACTCGTACTCATAAAAATTCGCCGATACCACGCACCGATACCACGTACATTTTGCAAAACGAAACTGGCCGCCGCGAGTGCTTTGTCGAGGTGAACTGAGGTATAGGAAAGTAGAATGTCGGCGGTTTGGGCTCATTTCAAGATAAGGGATGATGACAACAGCAAGGCAGACTGTGAGTTATGTTCAGCTAAGGTGTCGAAAGGAGGGAAAGAAAGTACATCGTTTAACACCAGCAATCTAATTAAACATCTGAAGACGCATCATAGATCTGGCCGAGCGCGCGCGCGGGCGGTAATGCACTCACTCTGTGTGTGCGGGTTACGGGAGAATAAAACGATTCGCGGGACTCCCGCAAACTAGAAATATCTATGAATAAAACATAACAACTAAAATATTTTTATTCATCTCTTGCAGAAAAGCAACAAGAACAACTACAACAAAATAGAAACGATTTACAGGCCAGAGTTTCTATTCATAACATGGTTACAGCGTTGAGCGATGTAGCCAATCACAGACATATGTGTTGATTTCTTGAACGCAATGGCCAATCAGAAGCATTTAAGATAGACTCCCCTCACCGCTCAAAACGGACTTTTTTGTTCAGTGCTGAATTCTGTATGCTGGCAAATCCTCTAATTATAACAAACAAAGTGTGGATATTATGAAAGATTGATTGTGCAGTCAGCTTCATTGATAATAACAGAGATGTGTGAGATCGCGATGAACTGTCAGCTTTTAGGATTTATTAAGGGAGCGCACCTTGCGCGCATTCAGTCATGCCAGACCATGCACGCAGTAGCCTGCTTGCTTTTATGTTAAATTAACAGTGGTTTGTGTGTTAATACATTTATTATTTTACTAATTTTTATTTATTTTTAGACTTGTTAAAACAAGCAGAGAAGAAAATAAAAACAGTCTTCTAACCTGTGTTCTAAAATAGTCGTCTTCTTTTCTGGGAGCCTATTACTTTTGCGGTTGAAATATCGGTATCGGTACTCGGTATCGGCAAGTACACAAATGTAAATACTCGTACTCGTATCGGTTTGAAAAAAAAATGGTATCGGGCCATCCCTAGCGAAATCCATCGGATGTGACGTGCATGCGCGCTACCGAGCCGCTCTCCTTATATACAGTCTATGCGACCGACGGCACTGCAGCTGACGACATGGAGTCTGATAACACCCAAAAACGACCTGCCTCCAGCACAACACACACTCCAACACTAACTCCACATAAATATAAAAAACAGAAACAAAGTTTTATCTGCTGAAGCTCGTCAGGCCAAACGTGATTCTGATCGACTCAGGACGAAAACACGGATCAACATAGGCAGAGCTTTTGAATTATTAGTAAACTCAAATGAAATAGCAAGGTAAACTACATGAGACATGGAATGAATACAAAAGACTGTTCCAGGATAAGAAAAGGTGCTTTAGGATACTTGTTTTATGTACTAGATCTACGTTATAGATCGTTACGCTATAACGTAATTCATCCCACTATCATATTGTTTATAATAAACATTTCCAGACACGTTCAGTACAGTAATGTTACTTCCTACTGTCTTACTGTTACACTGACATTGTTCAGTCTAGTTCACTAACCGTTTTCGTTATCATTATTATACATTCACCTATGTTGACATTGTTGATTGTGAAAGATACACGAATAGTTAGTGAAATGCCGTAGGCTATGCTAGATAACATCACATGTCGGCTAAATGCAGTCAATGTAACGTTATCATGGTACGAGCATGGAGCATTAGTTCAACGTCAAGCTGATAAAAGTAGCCTATTATTGTAACGTTGCAGTGGGAGTTTACATGAGTTTCCAGCATGTTGTGTGATGCTTTCGCCGTTGCGTTGAAAGTCTCCATGTGGCCGGTAGTGAATGCTCGCTCCTGAGATCGCACACGCACATGAGCACAAGCGCTCTTGTTGCAATCTGAAACATCACCACTAGAGGCCGCTAAAAGTTCCATAGAGCACCTTTAACAACAGGCAAAATAAATTTACAAAGTTCTAATGTTTTCAAATGGAGAACATAAATGAGTCTTATCAACTCACCATGAATATAAGCATTCGTTTTAAACTACAGTTTTAAAAGGTTTATCTGTTGTTTGATAGGCTAAAGAGTGAAGAGAATGGAATATGTAATATGCAAACATAGTCAGAAAAATAAACAAATTCGCTAATACATTATCGCAATTACCAAGTCTATCTCAATTGGCAATTTATCTGAATTATTAATAATGTTTTTGTCGGTCTAGATTATGAAATAGTCTACCTGCTGACAGAGCACTGTTTTTATCTGTGCTTTTTTACACAGAACGTCTCTCGTGGAGATGTTTAATTTGCACAGAGCTGCAATTATTATATAGATGTTTATTAGCTAAATAAATGTTAAATTGTAGACGTTAATATAATTCAAGGTGTTTTAAATGAGTGGATTTCGTTAAAAGCTGCATACGGTTGCCATGTTGAAGCATTTCCTGAGCATCAACCCAGTGTGTTAATGGCACTATGAACGTGACTTCACGAGGCTAATGAAGAATGGAGAGAGAATTAAATTCAGCGCTTTTATTTCCAACATGCACTCATTCATGGCTGTTTTAATTAATGTAAAGTTTCTTCTTTATTGGGACATTACTTGACGGATTACGTGAGTCCGTCTCTATTTTTTAGTGCCAAGTTTAAACTACATGACAAGCATTTATGTAACATCATTAATGGCTGTTATGTTAAATCAAGTTTATTAATTAAAGGATTAAGGCAAGTTATTTTACCTTTGAACACCGTTGTTGGCTCCTCTCCCCTCAGACGCTGTGCTGTAATGGCGGTCTTGCTCACAATTCTCAAAACGGCCATAAGATGGCGGGGAATTCATCGTTTATCACTGAATCCGATATTACAAAACCTATACCCAATTATGGGACAATGCTTACATATCGGGAAACCGATATATCGGTTGATCTCTAGTTATTAGTTTATTGCTTTTTTCAGCTTTATTCACAAGTACTTCTTTTCACAGGACAAAGACTCCAGAACACTAGTGGTGAATTCTGAGATAACAGGTAGTGGTTTGTAATTTTTGGGACTGACATTTGAATCCTTGATGTTTGAGTCATTAATGTAATATTTGTTTCATTTATACTTGTACTTTATCTAAAATAATGTTTACCCTGCCTTCTAGAAGCAGATATCCACAAAGAGGGAACAGAGAGCATAGAGACTCAGCAGCAGTCTGAAAACGTAGTAGTAGTTGCTGAGGACCAGCATGTAAATGTTAAAGATGTGGAGCAGGTTGTGGATGAGAATGGACGTTCTGATGAACCAACAGATAACATAAGGAACTGTGAAGAAGTCTTCAAACAGGCAGCCATACTTGCAAGGAGAAACTGCTCGTGGATCGACCTTAACAAACCAGAGCAAGATACTGTTGTACAGAAACTTGCCTCATGTCATTGGGTACAGAAAGAAGGGACATCATTTTTAGAAGGGGAAATGCTACAAAGTATTGTGAAGGCCATACGAGAAACAATCCTCACTGAAGTTCAGGACTCTCCTTTCTTTTCCATCATCACTGATAGAGCAATCTCAGTGGGCGCGGCAAAGTTCCTACCACTCTTTGTTAGATATGTAAATGACTGCATTCCTAAAGTGGAGCTCATAGGTTTTCTGCCCTTTGATGAAAGCTCTGATCTGGATTTACAAGCTAAAACTCTTTCAACCACACTTGAGGATGAGTGGGGACTTCAGATGGGCTGCTGTCGTGGCCAGTCCATCATGTGCATTGGTACGGGGAGCCAAAGTCTCAGGAAGATGGCTTTGGGCTTTTTAGAGAGCTATCCGTTAGCTGTGAACACTCCCAGTGAGTCTTGTGGACTTGCCTACTGGCTAGCTTTAAGCCTACAGAATGCCTACATTACAAAGGTTTTAGAGACCTCTGAGGATCTGCTACAGTTTTTTGACCAGTCACCCAAATTAGAGAGTGAGCTTGCCAAAACCATGGATGGGCTTCTGAATACCCCACGGGAAGCACTTGCAGAGATCCCAGAGACCTGCTTGTCTAGATGGAAAAAGAGGGAAGACTTTTTCGATATTCTGGTGGACATGCTAGAGGGAGCTCTGAACTGCTTAGATTCTGTGAGCACCAACTCCAGTGGGTCATGGAGTAGTAGCATGTCACTGCATTCTCAGGCCCTGTGCACAGCTATTAGACAGGTCGATTTTGTCATTCCCTTAGTGATCTTGAAGAACGCCTGCGCTCCCTTGAGGAACTGCAGCACTGTGTTTCGCTGCGGAAACCCTGCTGACATTATTTGTGAGCTTGAGAAGATTATGCCAATAATAGATTCTCTTAGCAAAATGTTGGACAATGTGAGGGCAGTACATTCTACCTGGTTTGAGGAGGCTGTGGAGCTTTCAACTAAGGTTACAGGATTGCTGTCATATGCGGAATCTGTTAGTAGCTATGATTCACCTGAAGCGTTCTACATGGAAACAGTTAGCTTACCAGTTCTAAATGGTTTGATTGAAGAAATGAAGTTTAACTTCTCAGAGAATCACCTAAAAGCCCTGAAAGTGTTGTCCCTTCTGCCAACGTGCAACCCTCTTCCCATTCTCCCAGAATCCACAGATAAACTGCACACAATATACCTGAGTGATCTCCCTGAGCCAGAAACAGTTGAAGAAGACATAAACACCTGGGCCACAGTATGGAGGGAGAAATATCAAGATGTTTGTCCTCCCACCTCCATCTCTGAGACTTTGCTCCATAATGAAGCCAAAAACCTTCCAAACATTGCTACCCTTCTTAAGCTTGTGGCTGTGTTGCCTAGCATTAGCATGGAGTGTGATCTAATGAAGACAACCCTAAATGCCTTGAGGACCTTACTTAGAGATGGCATCTTCAGCAGAGGCAGCAAGACTGATGCAGTCATGCTTCTTATGCATCGCCAGACACTACAGAGCCTGGAGGAGGTGATTGAGAAATGCGTGGATGGTGATCCGGAAAGTCATCAATTTCTTGCTCAGGTATGGTCAATTTCTTAGTCTTTATACTGTTATAATTCAGTGTATTTTGCTGAACATTCTTATTAGTATTAATATAAACTGATAAATAAGTAATGTTCCTGAAAACCCTGTTATTTTCTGATTGTATTTATACATGTAGGTAAAAGCAAGAGTTAATCACCTGAGAATGGAAGGCGGTAGGTAAAACTAATTACTCAAAAAAAAATATATATATGCAGAAAAATGTATTATTGATCTGGTAGTTGAACAGTTGTTTTTTGAGTAACTGAAATGGGCCCTCAAAGTATTGTAATAAGCTGTTGTGTTTTTATTATGACACACTCTTTCCTGTCCTTTCTCAGAGGTGATTGCCATGGCTCCACAGGAGATGGCTGTGGATACAAATGGTTCTGGTTATCCACAAGAGGCAAAGGATGCTGGAGTCGGTCAGTAATACTAAATGAGAAGCATTAGTGATAACCTTAGGTACATGAATATAAATCATCTGTTTTTTTCTTACACAATCATGTCTCCTATTTTGTTCAGATGTTAAAACTGTTGGTCCTGAGGAAATTCCAGTAGAAACCAGTGAAATAGAAAGGGCTGAAGAAATACACATCATAAGTGCACCTGACCAGCCATCATCTTTAATGCTCATCAGTTCAGACAAAACCACAACTGCAGCTCAAGTCATCCCTGCTTGCAGCTCTCTGCCGACCAGCACAACTGACCAACCAACAGAATCTGTCCATGATGCCACTATGCAAACCACAACAGTAGAACATGATAGAAGTGATCAACTGATCGCACTTGTTCAAGATGTAAATGATAGGTCTGAAGTAAGTGATCAGTGCGGAATTGGTCTGCTAGTAACAGGAGATCAAATTGTAACTAATCAAGGTGTAACTGAGCAGTCTAATGAAGAGCGGCCAGTTAGCATTGTTCAGTTAGTATCAGTTGACCAAAGTGAAACTGAGCAACCCATGGAAGTTGATCAGTTTGTAGCAACAGAACCAATTGAAACAGACAAGCCAGCAACAGAGAAACAAAGTGATTCATCTATAAATGCTCAAGATGAAGGTTGTCACACAGTAACAGGGTTAGCAGATGGTCAGTTAATATCAGAGGATCAGACTGAATCTGTTCAGCTCAGTGCAGTTGATTACAGTGTAAATGATCAGTTGGTGTGCGTAGATCAAAGCGAAATTGATCAAGTCATGGAAATTGATGAGAGTGGAAATGATACATGTGCAGTTGAAGATCAAGTTGGAAATGACCGGACAGCAACAGGGGAACAACGTGTAGTTGAGCAGTTGACAGTTAGTCCAGTTGAAACTGATCAGTCTACAGTAAAAGGGCAGGATGAAGCTTGTCAGATAGTTACAGAGATAGACGATGAGGGTAAAATTGGTCAGTTGGTACCAGGGGATCAAATTGAATCTCATGAATTTGAAGCTGTTGATTGCTCTCGAGATGAACATTCTGCAGCATCAGGTCAGGGTGAAACTGATCAGTCAGTAACCAAAGATCAGACTGTAAATTATCAGTTCATGTCAGATGGCCAATTTGAAATGGATCTGTCAGTAGTAGAAAGTCAAGAGGAGGCTGGTCAGAAAGAAACTGGGTTAGCAAATGAAGGTGAGTTAATTCCAGGGGATCAAAGTGAATCTAATCAGCTCATTGTAGTTAAATCTGGAAATGAACAATCCTTAACAGCAGATCAAAGTGTAACTGGTCAGTCAGAAATAGTAGATCCAAGTGTAACTCAACAGTTCATGGTAGTTGGTCAAGTTGAAAATGATCATTCCGTAGTAGAGGGTCAAGATGATGACGCTGCTCGGATAGAAACCAGGTTTCCAAGTGAAGGTGAAACTAGACAGTTGGTATCAGGAGATCAAAGTGGATCTGATCAGCTTATGGTTGTTGACTCTGGAAATGAACAGTCCTTAACAGCAGATCAAAGTGTAACAGGTCAGTCAGAAATAGTAGATCCAAGTGTAACTCAACAGTTCATGGTAATTGGTCAAGTTGAAAATGATCATTCCGTAGTAGAGGGTCAAGATGAAACTGGTCAAGTTGAAAATGATCATTCCGTAGTAGAGGGTCAAGATGACACTGCTCAGATAGAAACCAGGTTTCCAAGTGAAGGTGGAACTAGTCAGTTAGTATCAGGAGATCAAAGTGGATCTGATCAGCTTATGGTTGTTGACTCTGGAAATGAACAGTCCTTAACAGCAGATCAAAGTGTAACAGGTCAGTCAGAAATAGTAGATCCAAGTGTAACTCAACAGTTCATGGTAATTGGTCAAGTTGAAAATGATCATTCCGTAGTAGAGGGTCAAGATGACACTGGTCAAGTTGAAAATGATCATTCTGTAGTAGAAGGTCAAGATGATGCTGCTCAGATAGAAACCAGGTTTCCAAGTGAAGGTGGAACTAGTCAGTTAGTATCAGGAGATCAAAGTGGATCCGATCAGGTCATGGTAGTTGACTCTGGAAATGAACAGTCCTTAACAGCAGATCAAAGTGTAATGGGTCAGTCAGAAATAATTGATCCAATTATAACTCAACAGTTCATGGTAGTTGGTCAAGTTGAAAATGATCATTCTGTAGTAGAAGGTCAAGATGATGCTGCTCAGATAGAAACCAGGTTTCCAAGTGAAGGTGAAACTAGTCAGTTAGTATCAGGAGATCAAAGTGGATCCGATCAGCTCATGGTAGTTGACTCTGGAAATGATCCGTCCTTAACAGCAGATCAAAGTGTAACAGGTCAGTCAGAAATAGTAGATGCAAGTGTAACTGAACAGTTCATAGTGGTCGGTCAAGTTGAAAATGATAATTCTTTAGTAGAGGGTCAAGATGACACTGCTCAGACAGAAAACGGGTTTCCAAGTGAAGGTGAAAGTAGTCAGTTAGTATCAGATCAAAGTAGATCTGATCAGCTCATGGTAGATGATGACTCTGGAAATGATCAGTCTGGAACTGAAGATCAAGATGTAACCTGTCAGTCAGTAACAGAAGATCAAAGTGTACCTGATCAGTTCATAGCAGTTGGTCAAGTTGAGTCAGATCAGTCTATAGTTGATGGTAAAAGTGAAGCCGGTCAGACAGAAATTGTATTTCCAAATGAAGTTGGAACTAGTCAGTTAATTTTGGGGGATCAATGTAGATCAATGCAGTTCATGGTAGTTGACTCTGGAAAGGATCAGTCTGTAATAGCAGATCAAGGTGGAACTGGTCAGTCTATATTACCAAATGAAGTTGGAACTAGTCAGCTAGTTTTGGGTGAACAATGTGGCTCTGATCAGCTCATGGTAGTTGAGTCTGGAAATGATCAGTCTGTAACAGCAGACCAAAGTAGAACTGGACAGTCATCAGCAGATCAAACTGTAACTGATGCATTTGTGGAAGATGCAACTCATCAGCCTATAGTAGAAGATCAAAGTGGGTCTGGGTTAGCAGATAATGTTGGAACTTGGCAGGTAGCATCAGGGGAACAAAGTGGAACTGATCAGCTTGTGGCAGATGTACCCTGTGGAAATAATCAGTCTGTAGCAGAACCTCAAGGTGGAACTGTTCTTGCAACTGCATTGAATCAAAGTGTACCAGATCAGTCTGTGGAACTTAGTCAAGTTGGAACTGACCAGATAGTACCAGGGAATCAAAGTGAAATTGATCAGTTTGGCCCTGACCAGCCTAAAGTAGCTGCAGAAGGTGGCACAAATCAGTTCAATTCAGCGGCTCCAGATGGCTCAGACCAAGAAACTTCGGCAGTACACGTTTGCCTTTATCAGCCCTCTGCAATAACTCAGAGTGTTACTGACCGCTGCACACCTGTTTCCCCTGAAGACATTACCGATCATCCCGTAGCAGCAGAATCAGAAGGCACAGACCAGTCTGAAGTAATGGCTCATGATGGTGCAGACCAAGTAATTACCCTGGATGGCACTGGACCTGAAAAAATTGTTTTTACCCCCTACAATGCTGATGCTCGAGAGGAGTTGCTAAAAAAATTATGTAACATAAAATTCTTTTCCATAGTCACTGAGGAAGAGTTTGCAATTGATGGCCAACTGTACATCCCTTTAGGAATACACTACCTTGACAAACAAGACATTCAGAGTGAAAATATTTTAGCATTTATCCCCCTTTCCGCAAATATTGCTTCATTTGTGGATACTCTCACCATTGTCCTCTCTGAGAAGTGGGGTTTGAACTTGGCACTCTGTAGAAGTCAAACCTTGGCAAGAACAGGTGCCTCACTCTCTCAGATGACACAGGCTTCAGCTTTGCTTTCCCAGAGACTCCCTCATGCTTTCAGTTTCCCGAACCCTGTAACTCTGAAGTCTATGCTAGCCAGTTTGTCCTCCCTGAGAGAGATAACTCACAGTTTTGAGTGCTTAGAGCAGCTGTTTATGTGGTTCTCTGAGGATGTTCAACGACGGGTAAGATTAGAGGATGCTGTTGTACATTTGTTCCAGAAGGACGAAAGGAAAGCCAGTGAGCTGAAAGCCAAGATCAGCAGCAATCAATTGGCATTGAGTCATGAGGTTCTGGAAATTACTACAGACATTCTAGAGGCCATCATCCTTTGCTTGAATGAGATGAAAAGAAAACAAGATAATGAGGCAACTACAGCACAGGCCCAGAGCTTCCTTTCTGCTGTCCAAAACTTTGATTTCATATTGACAGTTGTGATTATGAAGAACATCTTGAGCCTCACCAAAAACCTAAGTCTGAGTCTTCAGGGAAATTCCTATGACGTGTATCAAGCTGTAAACCGCCTGTCTGATTTCCTGCCCTCTCTCAGTGAAACGAAGAACAGTATTGACTTGCACCATCAAACCTGGTTTCAAGAGGCAGTTGCACTAGCTTCTAAGCTGCAGGTACCGTCACTACAACCACCCTTAAATGTGCACTACAGAGAGGACCTCAGTAAAGGGGCCATTGAGCACTATTTTGCTGAGGTGGAAGGGATCTCCCAGGATGTTCTGTCTGCTCTTCGCTGCTTGCAGGTTGTGCCTTATGTCATGTCGAACGTGGAGGGATGCTGCACGGACACTGAGTTTGTCAAGGTGTTTCAAGATGACTTACCTGACCTACACTCCTTCCACACTGAGCTGCAGAGGTGGAGGGACAGGTGGCAAGATCCTTCTGCTGCTCATCAACATCTACCCGACACTGTTCTTGGAACTCTCAAAGCTTCTGACATCCAGTTATTTCCCAACATTTCAACCATCCTTAGGCTCCTGGCAGTCCTGCCCTTCTCCAGCATGCACAGTAGCTTCAGACAGGGAAAGATGAAATCTGAGCTGTACCCTCTGTAGTAGGTTTGACTTAACTTCCCCCAAACAAGCTCTCCATTAGGTTGTCATACACTGCTGAAACTTCAGAATGTCCCTCTGTATTCTCTAAACTGTAGATCACATCTGATTGTAGGTTTCAGTATGTTTATTTTATTACTTAATAATTATGAATTAGACCTGTACACTTTAAGTATAATCACATAATGGTTTTATTGATGTTTTGTCTTTTTTATTTTCCTTTTACGTAAGTGGCATGGAAAAAGAGGACTGCCAATTGGGACCAATGTCTTGCCAAAAAAAAATGAGAATAGGATGCCCTTGGGGGGGTGGGGGGCCTTACTGCTTTGTGCCTTTATGCAAAAACCCTACATAACTCTGATTCACGAGACAAAAAGTCTGGATGGCCGCTTTCAGACCAGACTTTCTGGAAATTTCCTAATATCTTCAGGAACTTTTAAAGACTTCAAATCATGAAAATCCTCTGAGATGCATTAGGGGGTTAAGAAAATCATGTTTTATCACAATAAATTATGATGGTTGTGTTATACTGTCAAAATGTCATCCCACGGCACAAACTAAAAATGGTCTGTCCCTGTATCATTATGCGTGTTACAAATGTTGATTTGTTTGCAGTTTTATTTAGATGAATGGATTTTTCTGTAATAATTTCTCCCAGAAGCCCTCCTCATGAAGGAAGCATTCATATATATTTGACTAAAATAAATAAAATCATTGAAAAGAAGCAGTGTTTTATCTGAATCTCTGCTCAATTCAAAGTCAAAACATTAAAAGCTCTCCACAAGATGGCAGTGTACATCTTTCAAAGTTTGGGGACTACTTGTGGGTAAGCATTTCATTCCTGTATTCTTTTTGTTTAGCTTTTTGCGCTAAAACTTTCCTCAGATGATTTTTCATGCATTATAGAAACTAATTTAACTATAATTTGTTTAATGATTTGAATAATTGGCCAGTAATATAAAATTGCAATAAATAAAAATACAAAATATGCAATAAATGTATGCAACATAAATGAAGTTTGTTATTGTTGCAGTATTGGGGTGGCAGTTTTAAAGCTAAGGAGAAGAATCCTGCTTCTGTTTACCACTTCCTGTTAGTGTCCTCTACTCTCCCACTGAGTCAGAGGTAGTTAATGATTAATATCTTCACTTTTTAATGCTGTTTTCTAGGAGTTCAGGCTTTTCACAAAGTAGCTATGGCCCCCTGTAGCCTATCGATGATTTGCAGCCATTCTTTAGTCCTTTGGTTCATAGACTGCAGATCCATCATAGAATATTGTTTTCAGGAGTAGATTTTGAGATGTCGTTGAGAAGCTATCAGTCTCCCATTTCCATGTAACCTTGGACCTATGATTCATCCTTGGGGGCTTGAGTCTTTAACCTTTTAAGGTCATTTCTTGTGAGAGCGGCAGTATACATGGTTAAAAAGGCAAGAAAATAAAGCTATTAACAAGACAACGGCACAGTAATTGCAACTACAAATCAATCAAGGCCTGCTTTATTACTTTATTGTGTCAGACTGAATCTATGACTTTCAGTCACGAGAAAGTAGGAGAATAGCTGTTCTGAGACCAATGAAGACAATGTATTTAAAGAATGTATGTATTTTTCTTTCTTTTCTCCCCTGGGGTAGGATTACCAAGTTTTTGCCAAGAGCTTAAGTGATTTAAGTTTGTATCAAGACAAATGCATGATTTTTTAAATGATCAACAGTTTCAGCAAAGCATTCAAATACATCCATAGTCTTATACTCTGTTGTTAATTAGGAAAGCATAGTGTGCAAAATATATTTATCCCGAAAACAATTGCTTGTTTGGTCAGTTCACAGTGGATTTTTGTTTTTGTTTTTTTTATGTGCCGTTGGATAGTGTGCTGACAAGCCAAGTCCTTGTCCGTCATCATCGACCAATGCGTTTCGCATACCACAGTGGTTTTGATTTTCTCCCCATTTTTCCACAAGCAATAAATTATTATTTGTGTGATGATTTGGCCAGATTGTTGTGAATGCTTTGGGATATTCATTGTACTCAAATACAAAGTTATATGCTACATTTAGATGTTCAACTTCTTTCTCATCTTTAGAAATCCCCAAAGAGTTCAGGTGAACATCAGGTGAATTTGTATATTATTTTTCCTGCCACGGAATAGACCTCTTATTGTCAGTTAACACTGTCAATCCGAAGACACTGTTCTGTTGCTCTTATGTTTTCAGTTTATTTTGTGACTATTCATTGCAAGCAATGAACATCTAGCCTATCTTAAAGGACTGAATTCTTGTTCTTTTGTCAGGCTTTTCCAGGCTAATAACATGAGCCTTAAAACCCCTGGAGCCATTAGCCGCAGCTGAAATGCCAAGATACCTTTTCTCTTGTGATCTGCTATCTGGGATTAGTACATTTCCTCTCTCTCTCTCCTCCAAAAGCACTCAGTCTGAACGTTGTTTCACTCTGTGTGTTCATCTGGAGCATCCTCCACTCTGATCACGGAAGAGGGCTCATGTATTCTCTGTCTGTTGGCCGAAACAGAGCTGCCCTCTCCCTCCTCTCAGAACAAGGGTCTAATTGTGTCTGCTCAGCCCGGTGTGAAAGAACTATCTCTTCGTGTTTCTCCTGCTCATCCACAGAGCAAACGGATCTGTAGACTGGGCAGCCCAGCAGCGCTGTTTGCAGACAGGATTACGTCTGAGTCCTCTGGTCTTCTAGCTCTCAGACTCTCCCACCATCCGCTTTTGTCATAACCATTTTATTTCAAATAGTTTTAATTCCTTTATCTGTCTGTGATCTTATAATTTGTTGTTAAATCAGATGTAATCTTTCAAATGGTGGATTTACGTATATTTCATCACTCTCAGCTTGATTATATTACATCGCTTGCTAATCTCCTGGCCAAACTGAGAATTGCCCTAATTGAACTCTTGAGCTTGTTTCCTGCTGGAAGTCAAGGCTGGGCCATGCCGTAGGACCTGTGCCGGTGCATAATCATGTCCATGCACAGCATGGTTTAAACTATATTCCTAAGAGGAAGGCAGAAGGCTTAACAGGATTTTATTTCAAGGTTTCTACGCCGGCAATCCCTAGCCAAAATCTCAGAACCACCAACAAATAACGCATTTAGTTTGAGTTATTTCCAATGTCAAATATGTTGGTCAGATCCGGAAACACTTTTTTTTTTCGTTCTGTGTATTCTGCATGTAAATCTAGACCTTAACATCAGATCTCTCATGTATTTAAATGCCATGGATTAACCTGTGAATTTTTAAGCAGTTTTAGTGTTTCGGCTTTCTCCCTCCCCTACTCTTAACTGAACCTGAGTATTTTGGAAGTAAAATGGGCATATCTTTGACATTAATATGGCTATTAGAATTCTTGAAATAACTGTGTGCTTTTTGGCTTTCTAAATCAAGAGTATTAGGAATGTGTGTCCCTGATTAATTTGCTTATGAGAGTTTGAGGTCTGAGTGCCTGCAGATATGAATAATGCCCTGCTGTAAGAGTGGAGGGCAAGTAGGATTACCTTGTGATTTGGAGTGATTAGGTTACCGCTCTGGCAGCCTTTTCTCCCAACTACTTTGCTTTCAGATCGGAGTGTATAGTTCTTCTTATAACCGACCCGGTACTCTGGTTTCTTTTTGCTTTAATCCTACAGCAAGCTATTGATCAAAAACAGATGTGTCTGTACAGTTTATCTATTGTTCTACTTGTTACCTCTTTCTACCCTGTTAATCTCTGCCGCCTTAGTAGATCAGTGTTCATCTAGACCCAAAACTTTTGCCAAGTCTGTGCCCTTACCACCCAGACAGCTCAATCCATTCTTTCATTTGGATCAAATTCTTCAGAAACAGATATACAGGACAAAATCTGCAAATCAGGTGAAAGGCTATTATAATAGGCCATGTTCACACAGCAGCAGAATGCGGTTGTCAGTAGAGTCGCCAAGTCCGCTTATTATAAGCGACTTTGGGATTGTTGTTTTTTTCCTTTCAAAAAGTCGCTTATAGATTTGGCCAGTTGCAGAATAGAGTTGCATATTTGGGCCTGTTATTGGTGTTGGCATCCTAGGACAGCTTATGTGTGGTGTGCATACATCTTTGTTGTTTTTTCTTCTTCTTTATTTTCTTAATTTTATTTGATCATTTATATTATTTATAAATGAATAATTTATCCCATTTATCATTCAATCATTTATTTATTTATATATTACATATTTCCTTGCTCTTCCTCGATGCTTGCAATTGTTGTTTAATCTTATGATTGGTCACAAATGAAAGTTTAGAGGTTTTTTGGGATGTTGTTATGAAGCTTGATAACACTTGCTGGATTTGTGCTGGTCAGACTGAACATTGTCAAATCTGAACATAAACCCTGCTCATTGTTATCAACATCACTTTCTCTCCTGCTTTCTTCTCTTCCCTGGATTCTTCTGCCAGCTTCTCAGGCTAGAAGATTTTTAGTTAATACATTTTTGGATACCACACATAATGCAATTTGAATGCGATTTTGGGTATCGGACAAAACAGGCTGACTGGTTTTGGATAACAGAAATGCTATTTTGATTATTGTGTATTGGTTTAAGGCCAACTGTATTCCTCTAGCTCTTGTGTTGCACAGTTGCTTTTGGTCTCGCTTTTGCTAGGAATGCTGGAACAGTATATCCGCCTGCTGTCTCATTTCCAATGACGGTGGTTATATCTCATCTGTATAAACCTCCATAACTTGCTCGCTTTGGTTGATGAGCAGCTTCTTTTGATCTTGTTTTGAGCAGAAAATTCTCTTACCACAAGAGTGTCTCTTCTGACCGATAAAGTAGCTGATTTGATCTCATCTGTATCGCCTGTCCCAGCATTCTCCTTGGCAGATGGGTTAAGTCTTTGATCTTGTACTGAGGGAAAAATAACGCTCTTTCAAATGTGGACAGGACAACATGGATGCACACAAGGCGATGTCTGTAAGGCATTTCATGCTTCTGGTGTTTGTAGCCATAGCTTAATTCTCCTTCCATGTTTCATGCTGGCTTGTGAACAAGCGTTCATTGTTCCTCCCCTTCACTTCCTTGTCTTTCCCACCTATTTTATCATTTACAAGTGGAGAGATCAAACCCCACACAGCTACAACACTGCAGTGACAAGCCACAGAGCATCGAGTTCCCTGCATGTTTGTTAATGATTATACAATTTGCTTTCATGAAAGGTCTACCTCCTTGTAGCAAGTTTTGTCATTTTCCAAATCACTTTGCATATAACCATATCTGAGAGACTTCTTTGAAGTAGCAAATGTTACCAGACTCCAATAGCATAAAACAAACGGGTGCATGTTCCCATACAGTGAGACAAGTCACTTGTGTTTTTGAAAGTACCTCCCATCTGGTACATGAAAGGGGCCATCGCCTTCAAAGAGGGGAGAGAGGGCCAGTCCTAAACAAATGGTCCCTTTCTGAAGAACATGGTCCAAACTCTCTAAACAGTCTGAATTGGACGCTGAACGTTTTCTCTCTGGGTTCTCCTGCTGAGTGTGACTGTCCCAGTGTTTTTACAGCAAAAAGCACCTGAGAACACACACACACCCTGACACAAAAGCATGTTCTGCGCTTTTTCTTTTCTTTTTCTTTTTGTGAACTGAAAACAAGTGTGCGTGGAATTTAAAATGAAGTAATTTTGACAAGTTTCTGCATAGGAATCTTAATTGCTGGGAGCGGTTTTTAAGTTCTCATTCTTGATGTTTAGTGTATGTAAACTTCCTAAAATGTTCTCCTAAACAGTAATTTGTTTACATTCAAGCCATTTGAACTTTAGCACCACCATGCTTGCAATAGAAACAAAACCTCAGGATACTGGCATGCCGACATAAGCTGTTTGTCAGGTCTCTCTTCGTTCAGCCTATTAAATCATGATTTGTTTTTATGAGATTGCCTAATTAAAACAGGTTTCAAAAGAACAGCCAAAACAAAGCTTCTCCCACCTTAGCTTAAATAAACTGATTGGACACAGTCCTGCAGCCAAAATGATGCATTTCCTCTTAGTTTAAACAGCCAGTCAATGACAGACTCTCCATCACAGTGCACCAGACAGCACCAAACAGACGCTGCCGCCTTTCTTGTGTCTCAAACAAATGGATCTCGTATTTGTTGGAGACGCAGAGCTGCTGAACAATGTTTCAAATCAACATTGTTGCTGTGTTCTGTTTGTACTGTGTAGATGTTTTCCCTCAAACGGGTAACGATTCCGCACCCATTTGTTGCTGGCACCATGCATTCATGCAGAGCAATGTGTCTCAATTTTTCTATAACAAGTTTGACTTTGTCTAAAAGTCAATATTGCTAACCGAAACAAGAAGCTATGATAATTTTGTATTATTTCAATATTATTTGTGGTGGTCTACCAGTAGATCATCAACATAGATATTTTTGCATTCATGAAGATATTTTGGTAACACTTTACAATAAGGTTCATTAGTTAACATTGTTAACTTGGTTAACGTGAACTAAGAATGAACAATATTTCTACAGAATTTATTAATCTTAATATGAATTTCAACATTTACTAATACATTATTGAAATCAAGGGTTGTATTGTTAATATTAGTTAATGCACTGTGAATGTGAACTAACATGAACAGCTGTATTGTTATTAACTAACATTAACAAAGATGAATAAATACTGTAACAAATGTATTGTTCATTGTTAGTTAATCCATTAACTAATGTTGAACCTTATTGAAAAGTGTTACTGATATTTTATATTATATGTAATATGCGTAGACTATATAATACAATGAAATATAATACTAAAATAGATATGTATATGTTAATAAATGAACATCTGTATATAATTATCTATATCTATCTATCTATATAATATATTATACATTGTTAATTTGTTTATACACACACAGACACATTCAGTTATTTGTGATATCAATTTTAGAGCAAGAGAAGCATTTCAATTTGTTTTTAAATCTTGTTGCACTTCAAAGCAAAAGATTTGAAAAGATATTGAATAAAGTTGTCAAACAAAAATAAGTCTACTCCAAAGTTGTAAATAATGTTGATCACAGGTTTAATTATAGAATTAACATCAAAAGACAATAAAACCTCATCACTGTTGTTGACAATATTCAGGCATTTTTCTAAACTAAGACGCATTAAGAGAGATATATATTTGCTTTCAATTGAAGTTTATTTGTTCACGTAACTCTACATCTTTACTGAGACGTGCCGGTCAGATCTATCCGTGCAGTTCTAGCTCTGCGCCGCTGACAGTCGCTGAGACAGGAGACAGCTGTTAGCAGGGCAGAGACCCGAGACGTCAGGGGACGGGGGGCACTGTGTCTCTGTACTCCTTCAACAAGCTCAGAATGAATGATCTGAATATGTGTCAGGGTAAATGGCACTGTGTCTGATGATGTCTCAGATAGAAGACAAATAGTGTTGACCAGTTGGCACAGCTGCCGCAAATGATTCATTATGCAAACCTTAAATCATTAGTCAGTAACGGCATTAAACTTCACACGTGAATCCCAACCACAAAATATCTAAAATTACTCAATTGAGTTAACATTTCAAACAAGAAATATGAAAAAAAGAGAGACATTTTCTCATTCAAAGCACATGTTTTTTTTCTGCCCCATGCATAATTTCAGTTATATAAACCGAAGTCGCTTTCTTGCCCTCTATGAACCAGCCTAAGGCTATGTAAGGCTCTCGGCTTGAAGATCAAAGTGTCTGTGGTGTTGATCCTGGTATACGGGGAGGAATTGAGAATCTGCATGTTAAAACCTCAAACAGAGACACTCTAGGGAGGTCACAGCTCTGTTAGTCAGTCTTCAGTCTGGTTTAACCTGACATTAAGAGTTCATGCCCATTCACATCTCACTGCTACTAGATGCTTTTCACGTCCCTAATAAAAAGGGTGTAAGTCTCCATAAACACGCTCCTATGGCTCCACACTGCCTGAAAATAAGCTCTTTGAAAGATGTGAATGCATATTTTTGGTTACTTTATAACATATCATTAATCAGTTGGTTTTATCATTAAAATAAGTCCCATTTATTGATGGCTACCATCTCTTCACAATGTTCAGAATGTTCTGAATCTCTGAAATGTAAGGTCTGTGGTTTTTATTAATGTCCAAAGTCTATAATCTCCGGCACGTCCCCCTCAGCTTGGCTAATTCCAATTCCCGCATATTCCCGCTGTGGGCAGATGAGTTTAGCGAAACGACACATATTTGCTTTCCCATTGCTTTGGGTCATGATTAGAGCTCCACGGGCATTTCACGTTATATTGAGCTGAAATGGTGCAGCTTGGCAGTGAATGAAAATGTCATGCTTCAGCAATTGGCGGTGGTACCTCTTAAGAGTATCAGATTAGCTCTAAATATACACGCTGCCCTCTTTTCATGCTCTTCGCTGCTTTGGTTTCAGCTGTGAGAAAAGGATTACTTTTTTAGATTATTTTTTAAATCAATTAAACTAAAATAGCCGTGCCTAGTTTCCAATACCATCTCGCATGCCTTGTTGGAGTGAATGATATAAGTCTGTGTGACATTTGGATCTGCGCAGTTACATTCAACTTAATAGATGAGAAACATCCACTCAGTTTCTTTTGATTTTAAAAGGCATCATAGAATAACCTCATTCAAACATTAGCAGAAATGTATTTTGGTATGAAAAAGGGTATTATTTAATAAATGAGCAGACTTTTTATTGTTCATTTAAGTATCTGTATTGACCTAATGCTGTATTGTTATGTACAGTAATTTTCCCTAAATGTCATGTTAATCTTTTCATATGCAGTATATGCCTTGTTTTTTTTCTTTTGCACTGTAGCTTTGATGTTTGTTTTTCTTGTTTTTTTTCTTTCTTGCTCATTTGTCTCAAATTCATACTCACAGCCCTACATTCACACACTTAACCACAAAATCAGTGGAATTGCCTGCTTTATATAAAACAGATAGGCTACTGTTAACAGTGGAAAAACTCTTAATGGTCGTATTTTAATTGCGTCGTTATTTGAAAATTGGGTTGTGTGGTGTGTTTTACAGGGGAATCTTGTGAGTGTTACGGAATTCACTGCAGGAGGCGTTTTTGGACCAGAGAGCATGCAGGTTAATAAGAGAAGCATATGGCCAGAGAACATCTTGACATTTATTACACCGTAGACACTAATAAAATGACAGTTACCTTAGATGGTTAAAATATTAACTTGGCCATTGTGTGTGGTGGGAACTGTAATAAATGTATGCACGTAGTGGACTATTTTTTGTTCTATAAAAATATTTTCTCAACACATTTATATTTATTATTAGCAATCTGTAAGGATAATGAATCCTTTAATGGACTCTTTTATACTCCTTGATAGACCAAAAATAACAAGAGAATTTAATAGCTCATTATTATAAATTAGGAAATATCTTTGCTCAGATGTGGACTTCAATGGGCTACTGGGAGTATTTCTGAAGGTTAAATCATTTATTGTGTGAAATGTAGAAGAACCTTTGTCATATAGAGGCTAATATGAAACGTGCATCGGGATGTATTCATCACGTGGAAATCATTATTAGCGTGCTTGGAAAATTGCCTTTGCCGTTTTTGGAGTGGCCAATATGGGCCGTGTACAGCACTGTAAATGGCATGAGTGTGGAAACTCTGGCTTACAGCCGAATAGCCTATAATTTTATGAACCATGCAAACACTAGAATTGCCATATTTCGAATTCTGTGATTTTATTTCCCGAAATTGATGCTCCCATGATTTCTCACTTAATTTACTTAGCATTGATTTCAGTGCAGAAAAAAGTGTGTCTTTCCCAAAGTATAAGTTTTTAATATATATGCTAGCCAATTGCATGATATTATGTGTGGTTTATTAGAAGGAAATGTAATGCTGATATTTTAACAAATATTCCGTTTTCAATAATCATTAGGCTACTGTAGGCTACATAAAAATGGTGACAGGATGGTCTAGCCTATTTAAAATAATGCCCTGACAAAATAACTAGATAAAGTGATGATAAATCACACCTCTACGCTTGAGTATTTCATATCCTGCACGGATGATGATGTCATCATGACCGTTATTGTATGTATGCAATTGTAAACCATTTTAATAAAGCACAGTTAAGAACAACTAAGTTAGGCTATATAAAATTCCATCGAAATGTGTAGCCTAAAGGATATTTGGATATTTAAGAATAATTTGGAAACAGAAGAGGAAATTAAAATAAAATATTTGCCTTCAATAGGCTATCATATAATAAAATGTTGTGTCAGATTTTCATTGTTAAAGTCACCGTTTACACCGTTTATGTTCATGAGGGACACAAAACGCACCTTTTTCGAGGAATGACCCACAATGCAAATAGCCCTGGAAAAAAACGCTGGAATTCCGTGTCAAAAGTAGCGAGATGTCTGAGTGTCACAGATCATATTTTCAACGTTTTCTTTGGCTGCGTAACCTTAACCACTTTGTTATGCTAATAGCCCCTGACATCAGCGCGAGATCAAAGTGGCGCGAGGACTCATATAGTCTCGACCTCCGTGTGCACCGTCAGTCCAGCAGATTCCAGCGCGCGAGCAGCACAGCAACATCAAGACACTTCTCTTTATCACTGGACTGTTGCATAATGCTTTCTCACTCGGACTTCACAAAAACGGATTAACTGCAGAAGTTTGGCTGGATTTAAATAAAACGGACTTTTGGATTACTTTGCACAATCGGCATTTTTTTGACGTCAGCCTCTGTTTGATAAAGGTGAGGATGAAAGTGCATCCCGTTTTATTGTGCACAAAGTTTGTACGCCTGATTGCGTCTCTTATTAACACAGATGTCGTACTTTTTAAATATCACTGGTGCAAATTAAAGTATATATAATCTGCAATAGTGCCTAGATTGTAGACCACCCAAAGGGTGAACTAATTACATTTTAAGTTTACTTCGGTTCCCCCCCAGGTGAAAATACAGGAGATAAACGATAAAGTGCAATCTTTGCGAAAGCGCAAGAGTAAAACAGCTGTTTATTGCTTTTGCTACAATATAATCTTATCGCTCATATCTTTAAATAGGCGTTATCTATATCATAATTGAGGTTTGTTTAATTATGCTGTATGAGCTCTGAAAAATATTAAAATCTCTAAACCACGTATACGTAGCTATATCTGTCCTAATGGGATATAGATTATATAATGCATGGGATGTAAACTACACTTGTATTGTTTAAATTTTCTTTAAAGCAAAAAAAAAAAAAAAAAAAGCTAAATTGCTGCCTAAATTTGTTTGTAAAATCAAAGTTGTGTCCAAGTTACAATCTCCACTTTGAAATTTGTTGTTGATAAAAGCACTAATACATAAATGAAACCATTTGAAACTTATTAGAGTAGAAATTATAGTAGCAAGTTCAACAGCAGAAAACATTTTAAGTGTAATACATATAAAAGCACTATAATTTTGATACATTAGGTACATCTGTAGCTGTAATAGCACTTTTAATGTATAGTTGTCTGGCTAGGTCTATAGCCAGGAGGGGGAAAAAACAACAACTCTGCTATCTGGACAATCACTGTCTGTATGTGAATGCATCATGCCTGAGGCCAGACAGCATGTCCACTGGGAGGTAGTATCTGTTTATTGCCCTCCTGTTCCAGCGAATGGAATAATCTGAAAACATTTGATAACATTCCAAAAATTGCCACACCTATATTTCTGAAATTTGCATGCGGAGTATTAGAAAACACTTTGCAATTTTAAAACACAAAAAGTATTGGAACATACTATTAAAAAATAGAGTTTTGCTTTAGAATAATTTATCTTTTGTAATTAGTGTTTTCTTAACTGCTTCTCACAAGGAGATACAAAAACTAAAATGTATAAAAAAAAAAAAAAAGAATTAAACCCGCACAACAAGAGAATACGGTAATGCAATAGAATTGGATAATATAATAACAATACAGGCTTAAAATACAATATTACTATTTGGAGCCATAGGAAAGCGGTGTGTAAAAGCGTTGTGTTTAAAAAATTATTTAAAGTATGCCAAGTGCACATTGCATAGCAGCCATCAGATGTGTGTGATTGATGTAATCTGGATCTTTTTTTTTTTTTAAAGCAGGAGAGGGACAGAAAGAAGGAACAAGTGTCATGGCTTTTGGCTTTTAATTATAATTGTGTCAAGAAGCAGTGGGGTCAGCGAGCACCTGCATCAGTGTCTTCTGATCGAGCTGGATCTTATTGTACAGCATGAAGCGAACCTTCCCTTCACTCCCGCTCTGTCTTCTCACATTCCTGCTCCTGTCTCAGCAGTGCACAGGAATCAAATGGCTGTGAGTTGCTCCTTTCTCTCTATATGAAACGGTTTCAAACGCATTCAAGATGTTTTTTCAAGTTGATTTGTCAAACTTTGTGTAACATGAAAAAAAAGACTTTTGGAACCTGGGAATCGACCTTTTCTTGACAGTGGAACAATGGCTTTTAATTAGGAAAAAATCTAAAAAGTCGCTTCACAGAATTTGATCTTAATTCTTAAGTCAAAAGTAAATCCAGTTCAACACCCAGTTACTTGTAATTTCTGCAGAATGTTTTGTATTCACATAATTGATACATTGGAATGGAAGACATGACGGTGGATACTTTTGGACGTGAAGAGGCCATTTCGCATGCACAGGATGCTGGTAGAGGTTTCCAAAGTCTTGATATTGCATGGCAAGAAATACAAAACAGATGCCGCCATAAACACCTGTGTTCCCTGGATAACAAAGACAGAGGGTGTATGTGTGTGAGTGCGGAGGTTAAGACAGGGGTCTGTCAGTCACAGCATATCATGGAACATAAAGTGGCGGCCCCTAATCTGAAACAGGCATAGGTAGAGCGGGCATTGGTTGGTTCGCACGAATAGTAATACATGTGTGTGTTTTAGTCAAATAAAACAGGAATCATTAAAACAATGCTTCAATTCAACAGGTTTCACTACAAAGTCTTACTGAAATGAATATTGTTTATCTTTAATGATTTTGGTCACAGAAGTTTTGCAATCATTTCTTGTAACTGAAAACTTTCAACCTATTAGATCATTTTCTAAGATTACATCTATGACTTGCGTTTTATACTATGACTTAACCTTGCAAAAATTCTTCTAGTATTGTATGACTGCAGCTTTACCATGGTACATTCTCTAAAGTTTTAACAATGAACAAATCATCTTGCGGATAAACAACATCTTTTTCCATTGGCAATTGCTTTTTTGGTTCCTTTCTTGCTTCCAAGTGATGCAGAAATAATCTTCTTCCATTTGCTCTAATCTTGATTGATTATCTCTGGGAATGGGTTGTTGTTTGCATGCCTTTGCGAGCAAGACACTGAACAATTTTAGCCCGCAGCTTAAATGCGTGCGAGAACGCTTTCGCAAACGTTGATGTTACTCTTAATATTTTCGAGTTGGCTTTAACCATGTTTATTTGAGTTTGAGTTTAAAGACTTCAAGACTTGCCACAAATATTTTGATCACTTTTCACACCACCAAACATTTGAATTCTGTTTAACTTCAAATGTTCGAGTTCAAATTAACGAATAGAGTTGACAGACATCAAGTGTTCACTGAAGCATGTGCCTTTCCTCATCCAGGGCACTATCACAGACCACACAACACATCAACAAGACCCAGCACTGCAAGACTTTGCCAGGCCTCGTCTCCTCTCAGGCTCAGCTCTGTAGGAGTAACCTGGAACTCATGCAAACCATCATCCAAGCAGCACGGGAGGTTAAAAAGGTCTGCCAAAAGACCTTCGCAGACATGCGCTGGAACTGTTCCTCTATTGATACTCAAAAATTCCTCCCGGACCTGGAACGAGGTGAGTTACAGAAGAAAATCATGTCCAAAGAGGATTATTTCCAAGTCAAGCCTATATTTTTTGTGAACCGTTTCTGAAATCTATCCACAGATGTTCTGTTTAGACACAGTGAGTCCTAAATATGTGAAAGGGCCACTGTCCGTCTATTGCCAGTTCCTTCAAGGCAATTTAAGTGACCACACACCTCTCTTTATACCCGAGTGTGGTTTCCATTCAGGCCTTAATAGGTCTGAGGAACCCATCTAATTGTTGAGGGAAAACTTTATGAGGGCAACGGTTTAAAAAGCAGCCTACGGTGATCCTTAAACACTCTCTCTCCGGGTAACGAAGACTATGCCAGTTAAATGCTGCAATTGGGCCTAAGTGCCTCGCTGCATGATAAAAGAAATCGTACCCCTGCTCACCCGGAAACCTCCGACCCATGGAATTCTTGCACATCGCTCTTCTTTCTTTTGCTCCGTTTGATGTGAGGCTTCACGGAGGAGCAGCGTTTACTGTGAGGACTAACAATAGGATCCATTCTATTCAATGAGAGATGCTATTGAGTGAGTTAGTCAGTAATGGACAGAGAATTGCCCTTTTTTTTGCTAGTTTCACAGTCTTTTAAATCCTACAATTTTACCCTGTGTCCGACCCCTGTAGCACAGATGTGATTTTTTAGATGTCAAAAAATTAAAGAAATATGAAATCAATTAAATAAAATAGTCAAGAAAGGGATATCGTGTTGTCTACTTATTGTTTTTCATTGCTTTTCCATGGATTAATGTTGTAGCGTCACGTCTTGAATTTCCACACGGCGCTGACACATGCATGCTTCGCTTTGACGGATGGTTTAATCGTCCTCCCTATTTATTTATTAAGAGCTTTTAGCATGATCCAAATGCTGGAGATGGTCAAACTAAATCTGGTTGAAGTTCTAGAGAACTGCCCTCCTTCCCCGTAGACCGTTCACATTTGTCAAGAGTTAAAGCGCTCCTGCTTCTCATAAGTGCACCGCTAAGGAGATGGTCTTTGATGTACCTTGTACGGGGTCAAGCTGAGCCTCTCCAGTTTCTACACCTATTATCTTGTCATGACATATGTGCACTGTGAGAACAGTTCAGTAATCTCCGCCATTATCCTTTCATACTGCATTCTGACGGGTTTCTCATGTTGCTTTGCTTTTCTATAAGGGAAAAAAGTCAGTGATGAGGATTCAGAATTCATGTTTTTTTATACTAGCAAATCAAATTAATCTTTTTTTTTTTTTTTTTGCAGGAACGAGGGAATCTGCATTTGTATACGCTCTCTCTGCAGCCGCTATAAGTCACACTATAGCACGGGCGTGCACCTCCGGAGACCTGAGGTTGTGCTCGTGTGGTCCGATTCCAGGTGAAATACCAGAGCCTGGGTACAGGTGGGGCGGCTGTGCTGATAACCTGCATTATGGTCTCCTTATGGGTTCCAAGTTTTCTGATGCACCTATGAAGTTTAAGAAGAAGTCTGGCACGCATGCCAACAAGCTGATGCATCTTCACAATAGCGAAGTGGGCAGACAGGTAAGCGGTACCTCACAGAAACCACATGGAATCAATTATTCACTATGAAAGACACGAGGCTTAAAGGGTTAGTTCACTTAAAAATGAAAATTCTGTCATTAATTACTCTCCCTCATGTCGTTCCAAACCCGTAAGACTTTCATTCATCTTAGGAACACAAATGAAGATTTTTTTTATGAAATCTGAGAGCTTTCTGTCCCTCCATAGACTACGCAACTACCACTTTGACACTTCAAAAAGTTCATAAAGAGATCGAAAACTAATCCATATGAATTGAGCGGTTTAGTCCAAATTTACAGATTTAATTGAGTTTTTTATTCAGATATAAACATTGATCAGCGAACATAAACAGAATCTCAAATCTCAACAAACCTCATTGGTTCTTGCTGAAGCTCAAACGTGCTGCGTAACACACAAGAATGAACCTCATTGGTACATGCACGTCAAGCGAACATGCTTGAGCCTCCGTTTAACACAACTGATGTGTGAGTTGATGAATGTTTAAAAGTGAAAAAAAAAATTTCACGGGACATTCCAACAAGAATTTACATGGGAGTTAATGTGACCACACCCTTAATCTGACAGGCAATCGGTCAAGGAATCTGATTCGAATTATAAACTTGATTTCAAACCAAGTTCTTAATTAAAATTGGGTTTTTGCTATTCGTTTGAGTATGATCTGTTTTCAAAATAGATTTTTTTCTTTATTTGGGACACAATGTGTACATGATGGCATGCATAATGCAGAAAAGCTGTCCAAATTCACTAGCATGTTGCATTCCCTGTGTAGAATGTCATAATGTCCTTTTACTATTGACTTCATCTGAATCCATCCCAAACCCCCCTACGCAGGCTTTGCGAGACGCTCTGGTCATGAAGTGCAAATGCCACGGTGTTTCTGGATCCTGCTCCATTCGGACCTGTTGGAGAGGCTTACAGGACCTGAAAGACATCGCAATGGATCTGAAGACCAAGTACTTGTCAGCCACTAAGGTGGTCCATCGGCCCATGGGCACACGCAAGCAACTCGTCCCCAAAGACATCGACATCAGGCCAGTCCGAGAGAACGAGCTGGTTTATCTTCAGAGTTCACCAGACTTTTGCATGAGGAATGACAAGATGGGCTCTTTTGGTACTCAGGACAGGTGAGACTAACTAATTTACAGATTACATACTTCAGTGCTCATACAAGTGCTCATGTGGTATTTGGTAGCTCAGAGTCAAATTTATAAATGCCCCGCCAATATTTTCACAGGCCCTAAAGCAAAAAGTATATTTCTAATATCATTTGAGATTTTTAAAAATGATTAATATTATATTATATAAAATTAAATTAATACAATATTATTAAAAACTCCATGTAATTTGAGTTGGAATGGACACAAGTACTTCAGTATGTGACAGCAATGATTGATCATTAAAACATATCATAAAGTGCAAACATTTCAAGCCCAGAAACAGCTGACAAAACTAGAATTTTACTCTAACGGCCTCATTTTTAACTTGCTGATTTGTTCAGAAAAGCTAATTATTCCACATTTTTAAAACTATTTTAACTTAAATTAGGTTTTAATAGGTTGTTTATAAACACAATGCTCATGTCATTAGATGGGGATGCAACCTTTTAGTGTGTCACTTCATAAGGTTTATTTTGTCCCTCTTTTACTCTCTTTCTCTTCCTTCTCTGGTGGCACCATTTTGTTGTTAAAAAGCCCTGATAAAGCATAGAGGATCAGTCTGTGTGTGTGCACGCGTGTCTTTGACATGTCCAAAGTGACTGTGTCCTCTTTACCGTTATCAGAGAGTCAGTCTGTGAGTAATGCAGCTATTCACAGAGCTAAGAGCTCTCAGCTGATACCAGCACTGCACACACAGATTAGCTCGACAATGAATTCTTCCTGCTTATTTCCTATTGCTTTATCAGTGGAGACTCAGGTATAGATTTAGGTAAGAATGGAGTAACCTCAGCATCCTTGCTTTTGTTATGTTTGCATCTAAATGTGCTCTGTAATGTTGTTTTTGGCTAAGATTCATGGAATTATTGGATCATATGACATGATTTTTCAGCAACCGTGTGCAATTCACAGTCTTAAATTGACAATTCTTCAATTGACACTTCTAAATTGACAAAACTGTCAATTCTTAAATTGACAAGACAATGAAATTAACATTTCTTATTTTTAAATTCATGTGCCCTCATAATTTATAATCAAAATAACTTCCCCTCCCTCTTCTCTGGTGATGTGTTTACTGGTGCGAGGGCAGGACAACCTGTCACTCACATGACATCACAGCAATAGGATAACATCCAACCGTCCAATCAATTCCTGATCGACAAAATCAAGTCCTGACTCCTGTCCTACGTTTTTTCTTGTTTGAGAAGCTGTTTCTCTTTGATATACTGTACATCACTATGGAAGAAACGACTATCGGCAAAAACACCTCCAAAAATGGTGGCAACAAAAATAAAAAGACACTGGGCAAGTTTGCACCCTTAAAGGGCACTTTGGGAAGCGGACACCAGGTGATCCAAACGAAAGTGAACAACTAAATATTTTCACGAAGGGCCCTTCCAGTCCGTTAGTGAAGGGAACATGCGATGGTCACTTCAAGGAAGTAATTTAATCGTTTATGGTTAAGTCCTCGCGATTCTTTTTAAATCTAGATATGGAGGGTGAGTTGGAGTTAACGTATGAACAGACAAATTCAAGTTGTTTTGTTGTGATATATTACACACATTTCCGTCATGCGTTTGATATCAAGTTTAAAAAAGTTTCATAGGTAAGAAATGTGTAAGAAATGAAACAGATTGGGAACACACACACACATATATAAAGCATATTTTAAAAATGTCATTATAAATGTACATTTATCATATTAACAGCAATAATAAGATATTCCTGTTGTTGCTGCCAAGCTTTGTCGTGGTAACATTCCATGTGAAGCTAATGAGGAAGTTACTTGGTCTTTCATTGCTCCCTTTGCCAAGTGCGATCCAAACGGCTTCATGACACAGAAGTGCCCTACTGCCTACAAAGTCCCCACTTCAAGGGCTCTGCCCTTCGGAGTGAGTAGGGCACAGGGATGCTCACTTCCGATTGGAATTCGCCCACTAATAATAATAATAATAATACATTTTATTTGTAATGCGCCTTTCTCAGACTCAAAGCGCTACAGCATGTACAAAACAAAATAATCAAGCATGGAAGTAAAAAATATAGAAGTATCAAAAAATACAGAAAAAATAATACAATTATAAATTAAAAGCTTGACTAAAAAGAGGTGTCTTAAGAAGTTTCTTAAAACAATCCACTGAAGCAGCATCCCTAATAGATGCGGGTAGTGTGTTCCATAACTTAGGCGCGTTATAGGAAAAGGCTCTTCCCCCCATGGTTTTCAATTTACAACGAGGCTGATACAGAGATAGAGAGCCAGCAGAACGGAGAGAGCGAGCGGGAGTGGATGGAGTAACCAAATCACAGATGTAATCTGGAGCCAACCCAAGTACTGCTTTATAGATTAAAATCAGAATTTTAAAATATATTATTTTAAAACAATATATAGTAATAATAATTATATATAGTAATAATACAATTATTTTCTTATAGTGTTTTGCATGAATTGAGCTACAGAAGAAATATTGATAATGTTTCTAACATAACATTTTAACATTAAATAATGTTCGCATAATAATATCTGCCTAGATGTCACCAAGATGCCCACTGAGTAGATTTGTCATATATTCTACTGTGTCAGTTATATCATAATGTCTTTGAACGTGACTCATCCGGTCAGAATTTAGAGTTGGAACTTTATGTTTTATAATTCTTAAACTTAATATTTTCAGTTGAACTTTGTAACCGTTTAGGCTTTACATATAGGTATTATAGGTCAGTGCACAAATAACCTAGAGACATGCTGTATGTCAGGTGCACTCAACACACAGTATGCATCCTCAGCCTTAGTCCTGATAAGACCACTCACATGCGCTCTCTGTTCATATATTTAGTGCTTTGCACTTGGTCACAAGACACTGGTGTGTTTTGTAATCATTAGAGAACGTCAACAGGGAACTGTGTGTGTCGCACATGTCGCTTCCATGGTGGTCTCTGGTATGTAGAGGGTTCAGCTCCTCTGTTGAACCCATCACCCTATACCTGTCTCTAAGACATGTGACTACAACATCTCCTGTCCTCACATTTAATTGATTTGTTTTGCTGTCAGTTCTACAGAAGGTCAATTAGCATAATACCATAAAACAATGGTGAGTCTCATGAAACCTGTGAACAACAAGACCAGGTCATATTCCACACCAAAATCAGCACTATATATATAATATCAGCACTATAACAATTAATAATACAATTTTATTTAGATTTTTGATTTTATTTTGGGGGTGAAATGTGAGATTCACCCATGAAGTCGGGAAGCTGCTATCATTGCACATCCTCTCTGTGATTTGGAAGGTCTTAAGATAATGAGCCGTAAGTGTTACCCTAACTAGACCTGCAGAGTTGGGTTCTCTAATCTGATTTGGCGATGAGAGATGGGTAGAGACCAAATGACAAGCGTATCTCATCTGTCTCATCTATAGTTACATTGCTCTCCGTGTTCCCCTGTGCTGCTTTGTGGGCCACAAGACTGTGATTAATGAAATTGGCACATTAGAAGTTCAGACAGAACAACATCCCAAAGGCTTAGAGATGATCGGTATCGCTAAAGAAACAATCTGTGAGCGCTGTTTAAAAGATGTGTTTTAAAATGTGTTTTCACTTTGAGGTCAAATTTAAAGTTCTGCTCACAGCTGATAAATTGTGAAACTGATGGTAAAACCAGATCACTTTAAGAACATTAGCAGTTTAGGAGGAAAGTGTACTAAATTTAAGCTTTTTTCCCCTACTCGACATCAATTATAAACTTTTTGACTTTTGACTCCACGTTGGTGCAGGTCAGCATTTGAATATATGCTACTCATCGAGTCCTATTTGCCTGCCTTTCAGCATTGACCTGGGAGAGACTTTTACTCTAGTTTTAAATAACAGCATTCTTCACTTCTCTCTCCTTCTCATAGTAGCCATGCCCTCTGTCTGTTTCTCAGCACCCTGAGCATTAACACCACACAATTATAAAACAATGCACTTACACGGAGAGGGCTACACACAGGCCGACCCCTAGTGTATAGAGTGTGATTTATGACAGGGCTATTCATTGCTCAGATGCCTCAGGCGTCAGTACATGAGGGCGTCTGCAAGATCCACTCCTGCTAGATTTAAATGCAAGAGAAGAAAATGTTCCCTGGGTACGAATCAACTGGCTCTTAAATGAGCTATAAGAAGTTTTAGTGCTGTTGGTTTAATATGTGGCTGAGCTAAATGTTCACCTTGGTTTGAAAAGACGCTTATGTTTAGTAATGGCTCTCATGGTCACAGAGAGATGTTTGGTCATCTATTTGTGTAAATGTATTTTTGAAGTCTTGTTCCTGGATTGAGTAGGTGATAGTTGTCCAACAACTGACTAGTCAGTACATTTATCTAAGTTTTTTCATCTAAGTGTGTGTTTTTTCCCCGTTCATTATTAAAAAAGTATTGATAGATTTTTAATCAGTGAGACAAATTGGCTGTTTTATATTTTACAAATGTAAAAAAAAAAAAAAGAGATAATGATAGAGAAATATAGAAAATAATTCTGAAAATATTTTTATAATTTATCATTCATTCAATATTAAAATGTCTGGATAAAAATAGTTTAAAATAATAAATAATATAAACTGTGAAAATAGAAAAATTTAGAAGATATTTCCAGATTTTCTTTTTTAAATAAAAATGAATATTCCTTCATATTTAAGTGTGTTGATAAAAAATAATTAGTACTTATATAATACACTTTATATGTTTTAAAAAATACTTTTTATGAAAAACTGTAATAAAAAGTAGGCTACTATTTTATCAGAAATATAAAAAGTGAAAATATAGAAAATAAAATATTTCTGCAGATTTTTCTAAAAAATATAATTCATCAATATGAAGTCTTGATAAAAAATAATGTCAAATAATTAAATTGGACTTTAATAAAAAATTATAAATAATACAAAAATAATAATGGAAATATTTCTATAGATGTTTCTATAAAAAAATATATTTCTCCCAAATATGTGTGTGCTTTGTCTCGCTAAAAGCATTGCACTTTTAAGACGACCTGTTAAAAATAGCCCTAAAGTATTATGTAAAAATCTCCTGAGAAAGTCATCCAATCAGAGCAATTATACTAGTATAACTAGTTGTTGTCAACCCATTACTTAGTCTAGTTAATTTTTTTATTTGCATAGCCTTAGTTTTTATAATGTTTCAGAGTTGAATGGTTGGTACAGTCTGTACTATGAAGTTGTTTTTGTCTGTTTGTTCTGCAGGCAGTGCAATAAGACCTCCAGCGGCAGTGACAGCTGTGATCTGATGTGCTGTGGCAGAGGCTACAACCCTTATTCAGAGAGAGTGGTGGAGCGCTGCCACTGCAAATACCACTGGTGCTGCTACGTCACGTGCAAAAAGTGCGAGAGGACTGTGGAGAAATATGTGTGCAAATGAGTCTGCTATCCATCTCTGCGGTCTGCTCCGATAATTGTGCTGACCCCATCACACGTACCTATTCTCAGCTAAACTAATCTAAAGGAGATCTGGAATGCGCTCTACTCATTTTAACAGAACTGGACTGAATTCTCATTCGAATTCCCAGACATTGTGGTTGAACAAGCTGAAAATGTCAAGACTTGATTCTGTTCTAGATATTTTCAGCCTGGGTGTGGAGCATAACCTTTGTCTACCTGACATACTCGGCCACAGATAACCAAAGCATGTTACCAACGAGGCTTACTTTTGTCTTATGCTTTTGCAGCTTGTATGCTTTTGAGAAGACATGGTTTATTTTTGGCTATATGAACTTTTATTAAGAAATATCAATTCAGAAGCTGGACTTTATTTTTTTTACTGCACAAATGAACATGGTCTTTTTGTTAAAAACACCCAGCTCACCGTCCTCAAGAGGATTTTTCCTCTTTTTTAAAACATAAAAGCATATGCTCCTTTATCCAGATTTTAAGTCTATTTTCTTACACAGTACCCGGGTCACAGGCACAGTATGCCTTTTAAAAAAATTTTAAAAGGTACATTTTCCCTATTTTTCACATGGCATTGATTTTAAGCACTCTTCTTAGAACCTTCGGAATTGCTTGACGTTCCTGAGGATTCCACATTCCAAGTTCTAAGGGATACAGGCCTCAAAACTCAGATGGTACTTTACTTTCACCAGTTAAGACTGTTTAAGAGACTGACGAGATAAAGAAAGTGCTGAACACACAAAGGGAACTTCAAATTGCGCTCTTGGATGAGGAACTTTGCAATGGCTTCCATCTGTTGGTTGGTTACTTCAATTCTAGAGGAAGAATACCTGTATTTATTCCACATATATCAGCAAGGACATTGGACTATATGTGTTGTGCCTTGTTATATTTTTACCCAACATAAAAAAATGCTGACATTCAAATGCCAAACCTCTCTGAGCATGTGAACAGAGTATGTGGATCACCCATTACGGCCTTCGTGAACCACTTATCTGTGGATGTACATACTGTCATTTTTGTATGCTGAATTAAAAAAAAAAGAAATATTTATAAACTAATTAAAAATCTTTACCATTTAAACCTCTAAGACTCCCTTTTTTCTTTTCATTCACAAGGACTTTCATGACATGTTGAGAAAGATTGACTGCAAAAACAAAACCACACTGGCTAATTATTTCTTGACCGGTATATCCAAAGTTTTAACATAGTTGTCATTAATTTAAGTTCCTTGTCTTGAGCAAATAACAATTTAGCACAATTACACATGACATTTCTATTAATCATCTCACACTTGTTATTGTTCCGATTAAAAGCACACAAGATCTGGTCTCTCAAACTCAAAAACCCTGGGGAAGTGTTTGTTTGGACATCATAGCCCAGTAAATAGCAACGTGCTAGTGCTAGCCCTAGCAAAACCTCGGTGCTTGGCACAGTGTCCTCAACTCTTTCCAGCGTTTAATTGTCCATTACTCAGGGGCCTGAACGACTGTTGTTTTTTTCAGGTTTTACAACAACAGAGAAGATGGCGTAGATGGACTGAAACCTTATACATGAAAACAGTTCAGGCTCAATTCCATATTATTTTCAAATTGCTTCTCATGGTATGACCAGAACAGATTTTCAAGGGGTTAGCATGAAGGCGAGCCTCTTTGCTTTAGCTCTGTTTTAACACTTTGAGGTCATGAGCACCACCAGGCAAGCACATGTTCTCCATGTTGACTGACATTGTAAGATTGTAAGAGAGCAAACTCGGCCAGGAAAGCAGACAGCGCAACGCAACACCAGACAGGGAGGCCGGTTAGATTTTGGAGGTTTTACAGTGTTTTGTTTGTTTGCGGTAGTCAAGAAATCAGCGTGCGGGTGATTAGCGCGTATTTTGAGAGGGTTTTAATGATGAAAGTGCATAGTTCGTATACAGAAAAGTTCTGCCTTGTTAGCTAGCCAAGCTGTTGTCATGGACTCATATAGGTTTTTCATGCTAAGACTGCTCTCGGGCCAAGAACAACGCTAGTGTTTTCATACATGCCGAGGAAAATCCTGTAACAGAAAATCATTTGTAAAGTGGGACCGCTGAGAAGGAAGCAATGTGCTCGTACATCACATTTCAAGTCGATTACGACCCAAAACACAATTGCAGATAGTAGCAGCAAGCTCATTACTTCCTGTTCTCCCTATCAGCATTGAACCAGACTTTCAACACAGATTAGTGTTTTCAAGTGATGAGTCTATGCTATAAGGTCTACATTTTTTCTTGTAAATTTAACTAAAAACAACCTCAGACAATTTACAAGACAGTCTTATATAATGAACACAAAAGAACTTTCCCTAAATGGCACATTAAAATAAAATAGCTGTCGTTGCTTTACATACCAGTTAAGGCTTGAAGACACTACAGAACTTTTCAAATCTGAACAGATTTCTAAGACTGCATCATACTCTTGGTGACTCTGTAAATGGTTGAGAAATGATACACATGATTTTCTGAAAAAAATGTCAACTCCAACAGCCCAATATCTGCAGAGGGGATCTGATTTCTGCAACTAGCATTGACTACTCCAGACTGCAAATCAGGGTGACAATTTGGTCTAAGCGGGCAGTTCTTGACCAGAATAAGCAACAAACAGACGTTATCTTCCACTATAAGTTCAAATGCCAAATCAAAATGACATACTGGGTAAGCATGAACAAAGTCAGTCATGGGGTTGAGCTGGCATTGGATGTCTAAGTATAAGTCTAAGTTTGGGCCTGTTTGTGGGGGCAGGTAGGGAAAAAGAGAGGAAATTGCCATCTTGTGCAGGTGGGAGGGGTACTTCAGCGCCCACAGCTAGTTCTGTTGACAGACTCAAGGACACCTCTGTCAGTTGTGTGCCCTATCCTGGCAGCTGGAGGTGGGGGTTTGGGGTGTTAGTCACCCCTGCCCTCTCTCTGTCAAAGGGGCTTGAGCTATCACCAACACCAGGGACTCTCAAACGATGAGTGAGAAGACGCATGACCGGGTACCCCGTTAAAAGAGGAAAGCAAACACAAAGACCGTGGAGGTCCAGCCGTCCTTTTCTCACGCACTCTCTCAGCCAGTAGCCATACCTGTCACACACACCTTTAAAGGAGTGTGAAGGTCATCATGTCATGAGGGGGAAGTATAGCCAACTAATAATGGGACAGGTAATGGGAACAAAACTGAAATAAAAAACTTCCATGCTGCTGCCGACAACATGACGTCTGATATTATAAATTTATATTGTCAAAAAAATAATAAAAATAAATAAATACTTCATACTTTTTAAAGTAGGAACTATATTAAACTTTGTGTGCATATGCCAAAATATACTAAAACACTCAATGCAACCACATAGCAACGAGAGAGATAGATAGATAGATAGATAGATAGATAGATAGATAGATAGATAGATAGATAGATAGATAGATAGATAGATAGATAGATAGATAGATAGATAGATAGATAGATAGATAGATAGATAGATAGATAGATAGATAGATAGAAATTCAGACCTGTGCTGATAGTTTAAGAAAATAACATTGGCTGATACTGATATGGTCATATATTAATATATTATACCAAACCAAAATGTTTTTAATTTATGAGGGTGTATGCTTGGCTAAAACCACAATTTTATCTAATTTATATCATATTTTATTACTTGTGCAAAAGGATGTACTGTACACTATGCCTAAATATGGATGTACCTTCTTCTAAAAATATCATTACATCACCAAAATAAATATATTTGATTTGGCTTGAATAGCATTGCTTCGCTGCAGCAGATTAGATTTAATTCAATTCAGGAGTTTAGGAATGTTATTACTCCAGTTTTGACCTGATCACCTTGAAAATGGGACAGAAAAGACACATTTATATATTTTATATGAATTATTTCTTGTAATTGGTTTCCTGCTATGCACAAGCTGAAATTTAAGACTATTTTGGCTTTATGAATGATTTGTAATTCAATTACATGAGTTACACAGTTTGTTCATGGCAAAACTCTGCATTCAAATTAAAATTAGAAAGGTACTGAAACATTTTATTATTTAAAAATATTTGAGCTGTTGATCAAAACATTGATCCAATTTTAGTTGATCAGTAAAAATTCTGTCAGTTCCACAAGTTTCTCTTTAAAAGCAAGTCCCTGTGAGAGATTTCCCATCTTTAGATGTTTGCACTAACCCCAGCATCACGTCCTGTGTGGATGCTCTGAGGATTGACCTCATTTTGACCCCTGTAAAAGCAGGATTAGGCTGGGATGGAAGCATAATGCATGCAGCTCAAACTCACAGGGAGATTTCTCCAATCGCTGTGTCCTGACTCAAAGCCAGGCTGAAACGGAAGCGGGACTATGAGCTAATGTGAGGCGAATGGCTCCAAAGGCCGGGACCCCCTTTGTTACGGCAGCTAATGTCTCCTTAACAGCAGAATCCTTTTGGTGCTCTGAAAAAGGCTGATTGTTCCATCGTACAGAGGAACTAATTATTGTTAAAGGCAAGTTGCCGCATCTCACTCTCAGATTGCTTCACACTCGAAATGACCCGTGTGACGGAAAAAGAAAGGGAGAAGTTTAATGGCTTGATAGAGAAAAGAAAGAGCAGTTTAATGGAGAGGAGTCAAAATCTGTTGGGTTAATGTCAGCGGAGAGCATAAACCGCCGGTCGGCCTTTTGTGTGTGGCGTGGGGCTAGATACTTATTGTCAGTGGGGGGGACACAAAGAATTTGACTGGAATTGTAAAGGTATTGAGATGTACTGACCCGTACTGTAAATGGACTTTTGTGAAGCTGCTCTCTCCCCAGCCTCCAACTCTTTTGTAAATAGTGGGAGCAGTGTGCTCAGTTAAATACTGTTTTGTCATCATTGTGACCCTCAGGCTGTTCAGGACAGGCTTCAGGCATGTTGCCATGGAGAAGGTTGATGCAAGCATTCCCATCCTTCCCTATTCTCTCTGCTAGAGGAGCTGGGGCATTAAAAGTGGCCATGGATTTGCAACCGGGAACAACCAGGCTGAAGAATCCTAGGTCACTGATCGAGTCTGAGAATGTATTTCCATTCTAGAAGTTCTGTTGTAGTCTGCACCTCTCAAATGAGTCTGTTGAAAGCAGTGATTTGTTGGTTTGTTGAATTTAGTTATACATTTACAGGGTTTTCTCATGACAACATTTTTGTTGGAAATGGTTTTGAGTTCAACACATTAGTTAACTATGCAAAGAATTTTAATGTTACAACGTGAGGATAAATATAGTCAGTTTAAAAATTCTGTTAAAATTTTCATCTCTCTCTCTCTACACACACACACACACACACACACATATATATATATACATATAGCACTTGACTACCGTGTTCTTGTTGCCTCTTCTTGCTTTGTAATGGTTTAAAATCGTGTGAATGTGTAAATTGACAAGACAAAAAAATGTGCAAATGATAAACCTTAACTCTATGATGGTTCAAGTTTGCAAATAATCCGCTATAATCCAATGCTGAATTGTGGGGCCTGGTCCGTACGGATCACAGATCAACAACGATCCGCTACACCCGTAATATATTCATTACTGTGCAAAAGTCGTAGGCATGTTAGTATTTTCACCCCCCCAAAAAAATGTTTCAAGCCAGTTGCTATAAACCATCTTTTGCTATAGTGTGTTAGTAGGAAATATCAGTTTACATTTGCAAACATTAATTTTGCCATTAATCGTAATAATCCAATGAGATTTTTGTATGCACATCAAGTCTGACAACAGCCGGTGCTCCACACGGAGATCTGATCTCACCATAATCAAGTCTTTCTGTGATTACATGGAAAAAAAAGGAAAAAACCTACCCGCAAAGCTACAGTACTTGTGTAAAAATGCTGTAAAGTGAGGATGCTTTCAAAAATAATGTCATAAATAGATTTTATTTATCAATTAACTTCTATTAACTAAGTCAAATTAATATTTGGTGTGACCAGCATTTGTGTTTAAAGCAGCTTTTGTCCAGTTTTAAGGATATATTTACAGGTAGCTTTGGAGGAAGGTTTTTTGAAGCGTCTTGAAGACGTTGCCACAGTTCTTCTGGATTTAGTCTGTCTCAGTTTTTTCTGTTTCTTCATGTAATCTCAATGATGGTGAGATCAGATATCCGTGTGGAGCACACCGGCTGTTGTCAGACAAAAACCTCACTGGATTATTACAATTAATGGCAAAAAGAATGTTTGGAAATGTAGACTGATATTTCCTATTGACACTATAGAAAAAGATATAAATAACTTGCTTAAAACCATTTTTGGGGGGTGAAAGATACTAACGCGTCTAAGACTTTTGCACAGTACTGTATATATTACAAAATATTTTCAAATAAAATAAAATATTGCTTTGATAAATTCAGCCCAGAAACAAAGTGTTAAAGTTTCAAGTAATTAACTATTGGCAGTTGTATGTCCCAGCCCAATAGCTCCTAAATAGGATAACACTGACCTAAGGAGACTTAGGTATACAGTAATGGAATTCTGTTTCTACAGTATAAAATCTGGAGTTAAGCACTTTGGGAAAAGTCAACACGAGTCTCTGTAATTGCTGCAAATCTGAACGGCCGAGGTGGGTGAGAAAGGTTTGACTAAATAATGGAGTCAACAAACACCAGCACAATCACTGTGAGGGGTATTAGTAGCTGAGGCTGGTGAAAGGGGAGGTGACCCTGGGAGCGTTTTTAAATGGGCAGTGTTTGACTGGGGCCTCTGCCAACCCCAGCTAGGGTTCCATATGTGTGCCTTTATTAGAATGGGATTGAACTTAATCACGTTTGGCTTATGTTGCAGCCTGTGATTGCCGAGAGTAATTTTCAAGGCCAGCTGCTCATACAGACTCCCCACATTTTCCTGTCCTCTACTCTTAAACAGGCTTCAAACCAATAAATTATTTTGCTTATCATGTTATGGCCGCTGTCCACTACAAACACACATACTTAACACACTGATGCTAGCCAACGTAAACTAGTCTGGTCTACCGCTCCAGAGCCAATGCGGTGGCCACGGTTCGGCCAGGCCAGAGATCAGCGTAGATAATCCGACGAAATGGATGAACTAGTGCTTGAATCTGACCTCAGCTGAGAGTGAGTGTGGTCACATGTACATCTTCTCATGTCAACGCAGCGTGTGATGGATTTGTGCTGTTTTCTTTAATCTAATATACAGCCGGGCGTGCTCTGATAATCTGGCAGAAGAGGGCTCTTGTAAATGTGCCATATTAAATTCCTCAGCCGTTCACTCTACTGTAGCATTTTGTTCCCATCTCCCAATTTCCGAAGGATGACTTTGGTTTCAAATAACTTGGCTGGAGTGCAAAGTCCAGTTTGATTCGTGTTACTAAATAGTAAATACTAAACTATCACAGCCTCTAATTGAGTTATACAATAAGGCTTAGATTTGCAACAAATTTGCACACTCATTAATTTACAAAACCATCCGTTTTACAGCACGAACAATGCATTTTTAGCTAATTAAAATAAAGTAAGGCCTAGTCACATGGGTCATTTAATTCACTCGTATTTCATTGTGCCATTACCATATGACAGAACTACAAGTCTTTGGCTCACAGACATTACCTTGTAAACTTAATACGGTATAATTATAAGTGTAAAACGTTCAGCGAAGCACCTGCAAATGGAGACACCATAAAAATGAGATTTTAATTCCAGTACAGGAAGTACGGCAGCCTCTGACATCCGAATGACACTGTGAAGTAAATAAATCACGCGCCCTTGGAATCTCGATCCATTTTTAACGTTTTTGCAAGGCAAGGAAAACATCAGATTCCATTTGATTAGGGCGAAATTAAAACGTACACACATGTACGTTCGCATCAATCTATCTCCTGCCACTAAAAACACAAGTGATTGTGAGAGGTAGCTCTGCCGTTAATTGCTTCCATATATTTCAGCATGGATGAGGTAATTCCATGTATTTAGACCTGACTGAGAGCAAATGGCAGCAGTCAAACTCATTACAACTGATTATGAGTGCTTACAGGAGAGTATTGGCCGAAGTGCTTGAGAACTTGATTGTGGCTCGTCCCATCAGGAATCAGGGTTGATTCTTCTCCGCTAGCAAAAAACATTTTGACATATCATTAAACAGTCATATACTTATTTTTCATATTATAATTAAGGAACACGCCATGCATCCCCCTCCACTCATCTATCACGGTAAATTATTATTGTAGGTGAAGGTTCCCTGCGTGTGCTTTGATTTATACATTAGCGGATCCATCGCTCTTCTGTTCATTTGAGCGGAGCTGGGTTTTGACAGGGAGAGCAGTCTATCACATCTCGGGCAGCTGACCCCATTCATAGGCTGCATATATCATACCCAGACCTGACAGAAACCTGATTTACAGTCTTTTATTATAGCACAGTAATGTGTTAAACCTCCACCTGGGCTGCTAAAACAACTCTGTGGGTAAATCTGGAGGGAGAACTAACTCTAGACTCAGAGCTGTGAACTGGCACTTAATAAGCACAGATTGTAGCCCATGAAACCCCAGAGAGGACTGAACTGTATCAGTCGAATATGAGAAGGAAGACCATCTAATGTTCTGAGAAAACCCTCACAAATCCTTTGACTTCACCTCGATTTCACCCTACGGCTCACCCAAACATTCCTCTCTTCTGCTTGGACTGTAATAATCATTATTTGCATTCCAGTTCAGTCTCCATCTATATTTGGAGACACTGTAAGAGGTTGATGGTAAAGTCTTTTTTGTAAGGACTCAGCTGAGTGTTTGGAAATGAAACCCAAACACACTGTTCAGCATGAAAGAAAGCACTTACTTTGGCTCCTCAACATACACTACCAGTTAAAATTCTATACACACATCATTTTTTATTATTGCAAAAAAAAAATGTTTAAGAAAAATCAAAAAAAAAAAAAATTGGAGCTGACACTCAAGTAAAAAACCTTCCAAATGCATTGAATAATTATATAATATATAGAAAACAAGTAAAGTCATCAAGACTAATAACAAACAGAAGTATGGGAATTATGGTACATTATCAAAAAATGAAATTATTTTTAAACTTTGCACAAATACAGCTTAACCAAATTCATGAGACGCATCCTGGGATACATTTAAACAGTATTAAATGAGTTTGAATGTATGTTGTGCGCCTATTCTAAACTTGAGATATTATGCTAAACTGGAATGAATGAATGACATATTTATTTGGCTGGATTGAATAAAGATGTAAGCAGTTGGGCTTTCAGAACAATGACATCTCAACCCAAGACAGAACATAAATGAAAACCAGTTGGCCATTTGAAGAACCCAACATGATGTGTAATTTTGAAGAATTAATCTTTATTTTCACCAGGATAACACAGCTGTAACTGATGACAAATATGGTGATCCATCTTAATTTCACTTGGGATTGTGTGACATAGAAGCTGGGGGGTGGGGGGTTATATATCCATCTTGCTCTAGCTTGGGCATAGTAAAGAGATAAAAGAATGTCAGAGAAACAGAGAAGCTGTTCTGAAAGTTTAAGAGAGAGGAATCAGATGTTTGTAGCAGGTTGAGGGCATCATGTCTACAGCATTAAACCATGATTGAAGCTCATCATGGCATGGAAGCCTCAGGTCTAGTCTTTCCTTATAACAGCCTGGGCTGCATCTCCTAAAACCATCTTAAAGGAGAACTCCGGCGCAAAATGAACCTTTGGTCTAATTACACATTGTTACCTAGTCAACCGTTATCTGAGATTTGTTTTCATGATTATCGAATGTAAATAGTTTTATCTCTAAAAACAGTTTAGCCTATAAAGCTAGTATAACGCTAGTATATTGGGCATGGAGTAATGACAAATAAAAATCGCTTGTTAATACCACTAACAAGGCTCAAAATAGCCCCACAGTAGCACGGTAGCATAATGAGGGTCCCTACCTTCAAACCGAAGCATTGAGAACTTTGTCAGTGTCCAGACAGTTTAATAAGAAGATATTGTATGCATACAGTCAACTTCGCGTATACAGGCAGAAGCCATCTTTGAAAAACAGTCTCTACCAGTTGATCTACGAACGCCGATCCAAGTGCGCTGGTGAGATGTGAACGAGCTTTAAGTTGTGATAAGGTGAGCGCGAACAGCAGGCTTGGATCGGCGTTCGTAGATCGACTGGTAAAGACTGTTTTTCAAAGATGGCTTCTGCCTGTATACGCGAAGTTGACTGTATGTATAAAATATCTTCTTATTAAACTGTCTGGACACTGAGAAAGTTCTCAATGCTTCGGTTTGAAGGTAGGGACCCTCATTATGCTACCGTGCTAGTGTGGGGCTATTTTGAGCCTTGTTAGTGGTATTAACAAGCGATTTTTATTTGTCATTGATCTATGCCCAATATTTAGCGTTATACTAGCTTTATAGGCTAAACTGTTTTTAGAGATAAAACTATTTACATTCGATAATCATGAAAACAAATCTCAGATAACCGTTGACTAGGTAACAATGTGTAATTAGACCAAAGGTTCATTTTGCGCCGGAGTTCTCCTTTAAGCCTAAGTTGATAGTAGAACAATTGGCACCAATGGTCTCGATGCTTTGGGAAACACAGACCTGGTCATTGTATGAAATGGGGGCCTTCTTCAGTTTAATTGTATTGTTTATACTTTATTAAACATTCTATTAGACAAATAAGTATCAAAGGAATAGTTTACCCAAAAATTAAAAGTTGCTGTTCATTTAGAGTAGACCTACTCACCCTCAGGCCATCAAAGATGTAGGTGTCTTTTTTTTATCAGTAAAGAACATTTTTAGCTGAAACATTTTAGCCTCTGTCACTTTGAGAGACGGAAAAAAACATATACAGGCAAAACAAAATTAATACCCGTGGCTCCTGGTGATTCATTGAGGTCTTATGGAGCAAAATGATCGATCTGTGCAAGAAACTGAACATTATTTACAACATTATTACCTCTAATCCACAGCCTCAGCAAACGGTCCTAAGCGCGTTAATGGCAGTCTGGAGGGCGAGCTTCCTCACACGTGAGCTGACGCTGTGTTTGCTTACAACAGAGAGGGAAGACAAGACGCAGGTGCAGTAGGCTATTGTTTATCAAAGTGATACATATACGCCGCCGCCTATAAAAAAAAATAAGATTACGTTCGCTTGCGCGATCTCAATCGTAAAGATTGATTTTTCACAAATTCCCAAAGTTTGAGAGCTCCCTCCCGCGCAACCTGGCTACATTATGCGACAGGAAGCTCGGGCTGCAGAGGCTGTGGATTACAGGTCATTTTCAGTGTCTTGCACAGATCGTCAATTTCGCTTAATAAAACCTCAATGAATTGTCAAGAGCCACAGGTATTCATTTTGTTTTGCCTTTATTTTTTTACTCTAAAAGTGACGGTAGCCATTGACTTGCAATCAAGGACCAGATAAGTAAATTGTGACTCAAGGTAGGCTATTGAATGTCAACATTTCTACTAATATAATATAATATAATATAATATAATATAATATAAAAATAAAGGTTTTGTTTATTTTTGCCCATATTAAGTTGTTCTGGGCGCATGTACTGTATGAACTATGAAGGCCACAAATTTCACCTGTTTTGTAGAATGAACCAGCTGCCTTTTTCCTTCATTATGTTTTCCATCAGCTTTGACAGTCCACTTATTAGCCCTGGATCCATTCAATGAGGAAAACTCCTTCAATCGACAACCGTCTGAAGCTAAACAAACACACCTTGGTGTCAGAGAGGTTCTTATGCTTCCATACACTACAACACAAATCCACATTTACGCACATCTATGCATGTCACGATGTTTCCTGCTCATTTTGCATCGCGTGTCCTAATATTTACTCTCGGTTTCAAGTCCGGGCATAGTGTGTGCTTTTACCATCAGCACTCTAACTGATACTGTCATTAATTCTAGGCTTCTCGAAGGACAGTATGACAAAGATTTGCCTTTTCACTGTACAACTATGCGCTGCGTGGAGCTGTATAGACTGACAGCAGCTTTTATTGCACTTCAATGCAGGCGATTAAGTAATCCAACCTTTTGAATGGTTATATAGAACAAAAACAAGCTGGGAAAAAATAATAATAATCTCTCTAGTGTGACTATGCATTCAGTGAATATGGGCGGGTTGGAACTAGAGTGGGAATTCATATGCCTACACATGTACCTTTTGAATCGTCATTGACCGAAAGTATGTGGAAGCTTATAAAACAGCAAAATGAAAAGGAATGTGTGTGCAAACAAATGTAATAACATCATTCATCACAACGCAATCCGCGAATGATGAATAGATATTAAATAAATATGGAAACAACATCTGCACAGATCAGAAGGGGATAGACTGAAGAAAAGATGACTGTGTCTGTCTATGTGGCCAACAGGAGTGTATACAGGTCTGACTGACGTTACACTAAGTAGATTGATGTCGTCTAAACTCTGCCCTTTCTAGGGGTTCAAGAGTTCCATCCAAGTGCAATTACTCTCTGATGTAGAGCGAGACAAATGATGAATCGTTTTCATTCTTTCTTTTACTCTCTCTTTATTGCTCCTCTCATTAATCTATTTTTCAATAGTCCTTTTCATGTAATGTCCACCGGCTGCCTTGCCAAATAGAGATTAGCACTACAGGCAAATCCCCTGCCCAGCCGCCCTTAAAATGGCTCACTCCTGGCCGAAGCATTCCACGGCTGGTCACATGTTCCCCAATAGAGTAGGGTGTTTGAGTCTAAGGGTTCAAACTCAAAGCTAACATTCCTACACTGTCCACACATTTTGTCGGCGAGATTTCTGCTGATCATCATCAGCGACTCCTGTGACAGGTTTACAGTATATCATAGATGTGGACGCAGTCTTCAAAACTTGCTTTTTGGGATCAGAATGGGGTAATTATGACACCTACCAGCAGGGGGCTAATGTAATCAGCCAAACCCAGTCCTCTTGGGCCAGACATAGTGACATTAGCTCAACAAATATCATGAGTTTTGGTGGAACCTGTTTGGCTCAAAAATGGAACATGAGAAGTCTTTGGAAAACTATTTGCAAAAAATATTTTTCATTTCATTTGGTGCAGAATTTGCTTATAATTTTATTAAAATATATTTCAAATATAAAAAATGTTGGTTGCAAACTGTAGGGAAGGAAATGCATATTTCAAATTGAACATTTATTTCATGTAAACCTTCAAAATTTACTTCAAGGGGACAGAGAAAACATTTTGAATCTTAAAATACATTTTCTGACCAGTCTAATAAGACTGCAAAGAGATTGCGGAAAACTTTGGCTGAGGCTTTGAAAAATAGATGATTGTCAAAAACAAACAATGATTTTATTTAGCAGAGATTAAGAAACTGCACGTTTACAGCACAAGGTTCAACTCAAGACATTAGGTGATATGTAATGTACTTAAGCATAGCTGTGGGTTGACCAGACCAAGGCTTTACAACAAGGAAATGAGACCATGTTTGGAGAAGTCTACATCAACAGAGTCAACCTGGACAATAAGTCAGTGGAGCTTGTCCAGCTTTACCTTGGCTTGAAGTCAGAACCAATTATACCTCTCACAGTAAGACTGAGTAATGATCGGTACACCGTAACAGCAGTTTCTTCTCTATCTACGCTAACAAGATGAGAGAAGTTCTGGCAAAGCTGAAAGACTCATTTATTAAAATATCAAGAGGAAAATTTACATTAATCACTTTGCTTTGGCTCTACAATGCTGGAATGAACATGAAATAGAGTGATTATAAAACACGCTTTGTCCTGTGGACTATAGCATGATAAGCAAATGTTGTTAGCGAAAAATTTGAACAACTTAAAATGGGGCTGAAAGATAGACCTGAACCCTTAGACCAGAGACAAAATAGAAACATATATTCCTTTCAGATTTCTCCAAGGAAATCAGAATCCAAAAAATAAGTTCCATGCAGAGGATAATTCTAGGAATTCTAAGCCAGTGAAGCAAAACAGCGCATGTGAGTTATTAGCTGCTTGATCAATTCTGGGAATTCTAGAACCGCAGCTTGGATGGATTTTAATAATTCTTCCAATTATTATGTTTAGCTACGCTGCTTTTACCATGTTTTTGGACATGCATCAATTTAACACCATCTGTTTGGACATGCATTGGTAACTACATGGTATTATGTGACATTTGACTTACTAAATATTATATGACTATTTGGAATTACCATCTCATAGGTTTAATATTTTAGTTAGATTATTTTGCTAGCAATTTAGGTATTGTGTCATTTCTTTAGTTTATTGCAGCAGATTAGTGAATCCCAAGTGTATTTTGGTGCCTCTGAGGTCATCAGCAGGTCCATGAACTAGGGCTGGGTGAAAAATATACATTTCTGGATTTTCTTCATTTTGATGAACAAATAATGATTCGTTGATCCAATAAATCAGAATAAGCTTTGTGTTTTGTTACTTTTGAAGTCTCAGCTTTCAAATTCTGTCAATTTTATTACGAAATTTAAACAATAAATACAGATACGGTGCACTTTAAAGCTGCAGTCCGCAGTTTTTCCTCTTTGTCGCCATCTCCGTTCGAAATCTGCAATTGCAGTCATTCGTGGAATTATCAACTTTACGTGAGTTGTACTTCAACACCCTCGACACGGCACAGCGCGGATGAACACAATCACTTATAAGTTATCATATCACGCAAAACCGTGCAAATTATACTTTGTTCTCAAATTGTTAATGTTAACAACGTCAGCATTGCGTGACTACATGTAATGTCCTTCCGATATGTATCCTTGTTTTCGCATGGGTCCTGCAGTCTCTTTTTTTCTGTAGCCACTCCGAAGTCCGAACGAAGTCTTTTGCATTTTACAGCGGGTGAATCTCTAGTTGTCACTGATGATCGTCGTTTGAACCTTTCTGGATCCGCCATCAAATTCGCTCTAAAACAGCTAGTAAACAATCACGTATTTTTACAGCTAGAAAAATTAACTCTAAAGAGGAGCATTTTACAAAATGTATGCACTATA